CCAAAAGGCAGCCGCACCTATTTGTGGTTGGGATTGTCCCTTCCCCTCCTATTCACCGGGTTTTGATTGTGACTCACATCCCATTTAAATCCCAGCCTACAACATGGAGCCTACAACATGGAGCCCAAAAGAAGGATCGCCGGCAGATTGACATGGAACCAAACATGATATAGGGATCTCCTTCTGGGAAATTGGTCCCCTTCCATGTCAATGACTTTCTAGGTGCAAAACAGGGGTCTGAAACATTATGGGCCATGGCACCCAGATTTGTAGAGTCATGTTTCAATAAGGCCCAACAGGCCTGCATTGGCTTATTGGAAACCAGTCACCGATCCGCTGAAGGTCGTGTTCAAACGTTTCACTTGTGGGGTCCAGTTGAAAGGGTTTCAGACTCCCCCCAACCCAAACCGCCTGACCGGCACGATAGGGAAAACCGAGAATTCTCAATCCGCTTTGGCCTTCCTTTGGGGGAAATCTCCCTCTTGTGCCGCTTCGAAGGCTAATGCTGACGCCGGATTAATAAACCCCTGTTTATTCATATGGGGGGGTTCCTCTCAAAAAGTGAGGAATCCCCGCTAAAACCGAGGACACACCCATATTAAAAACAGCGGTTTATTAATCCGGGGTCAACATTATAGGAGGATCAGCCGAAGCGCGCGAAGACCACCCCCAGGCTAACGATGGCGAGGGCCAGCTGCGTGTCCGGCTCCGCCTGAAAGCGGTCACCCAAGACATTGATGTTCACCGCGCTGGCCGCGACAATCCAGCCTTGGTGGGGAAAACGCGCAGGGCCAAAGTAAGTAGAATAAGTTTGTGGAGTAGGTTTAAACCACTCTGGGCCATGACTATCGGAGAAGACTAGCAATCATTTAGCCCGTATTAATACATACAAGCGTACAGGATTTGAACGGGGTTGTGGAGAACAATGCAGCGATTTGAAATGATGATCACAATAGCATCATGTGTACTTATCTAGGCCATTACGCCTGCCCGAGAAAGAAACGGGTTCGCGGATAAACCATTCGCCGCTTAAAGGAGTTGTCATTATTACTAGTTAGACTATAAGCAGTGATCCAAACTAGTCGGCTGATTCGCAAACAGATCCTGATTAGCTGGTATGGCAACAAGGCAAGCCGTTAGCAGCCTGGATCGTAACCGTTGCCAGCCACGTTCAAAGACTTGAAGAGATGGGTGGGCGGGCCACAGCCCTGAGGAACTGGTTACACCCGCTTAGGATAAAACCATGGCTACACTTGGAGCAACTGGGGCTGGTCCCCTTCGTTTGTTTCCACCTAAACGTCTGATCCAAGCTGAAAACACGTTCCCCGGCCTCCGTGCAAAGAGAAGGGCGCCCTCAGCAGCCAGAAGTCGGAGGCAGGAAACATCCGCCGATCCGTCCAAGCAATGCCAGCCAGCAAGGACAGCAAGATGCCCAGCATGCAAATGCAGGAAAGGAGGATTTGTTCCTCCGGCTGAGGAAGAATCTGAAGTAAACAAAACAAAAAAACACGTTAGATAAATCTCATCTTCGGGCAAAACCCCTGCTAGGTTGGCACAACATAGTGGGTTTTGAAAAAACTAAACAAATACCCAATCACCTTTTGGTTTGCGTGTGGGACATTTACACAAAATACGAGCACTACGGTCGCCAGGTTGGGATTTCTTTGCAACCCCTCAGAATCAAAAGTCGCTTGAAAAGGGAGTTGGCGGTCTTTGAGTTGGTTTCACTACTCCCTTTTTGGGCTCGAAAACCCAACTCCTGCGCAAATGTCACCGTCCACAGGCACTGGAATGCGCAAGCGGCAAGCCAGAAGGGAGTCATGCTGACCTTGGCAAAACCCAAACCTTGAAAAACGTGACAACTGTTTGGGTGTTTTTTTTGGCCGGTACCTTTTTTGGACGCTTTTAAATGGAAACCAAAAGGAACACCTGCATTTCATTTGCCAGGGGGTCCCCCCCAAAAAAAACAGACCCAACTATTTGTTGACACATTAAAAAGAACAACTCAAGAGGCAAACAGTTCAAAAGGCTTCCGCTAAGTCTGGACATGTCACAACCACGCTGCTGTCGCGCCACTTTTGGCACATCTGTGTTGCCGCGAAGACTCCTGCCCCGGCTTGGGCCAAACCCTGTTTAATCATGTGCAAACACCTGTTGTTTATTGGTTTATCCATGTTCTTTGGTTGCTTGCTTGCTTGGTTGGTGGATTGGGCGACCCCAAAACAGGCTTCGAAGGAATTGTCGAACACATTCAAGCCGACTGGTTGGCTCCTTCCCAAGCGAAGCTAAACCCTTGTTTGCCCGTGAAATACTTACTGTCTGTACCACCTCCTCTTGCCCTCCTTTATGGTGATCCGAGTCGGGTCTGGTCGAACCACATGTCGTAACTGGCCCTGCTAGAAAGCAACAGTGTGTGAGTTGAACTACCACAATTGGTTGGGTTGGTTGGGTTGGGCTGGTCGGTCGGATGGTTGGCTCCTTCCCAGAAGAAAGCTGATTGGTTGTTGGGGCTGGGTTGTCAGGTTGGTTAGCTGGCTGCTGGCGGGTTGGGTTGGTTGGCTGATGGGTTGGTTGGTTGGTTAGCTGGCTGGTCGGTTGGCTCCTTCCCTCAAACCCAAACCAAAAAACAAACACACTCCAAAAGCCGCGAAGCCCAGCCGGCTCCTTCCCAGATGAAAATGGGCCCCCAAATCGAGAAGGCCCAGCCGGCCGGCGTCACCAGTGTCTGGTACTTGGCGCTAAGGTCTGTGTTCGTCTTTCCGAAGATGCCTCAGACCGAGTTCCATGAGAAAAGAAAGGGGAACCACCTCATTGTTGGCTTAATTCAAATGAAAAAAGAAAACCCTGAAAAAGAGGCACATGGGAAACTCGAGGGATTTCCGGGATTGTCCCCTTTTCTTGTTGGCCGAGTTCAAATGGAAACCCATAACCTTACGGGAAGAAAAGAAAGAAAATAAACACAGCATTGTGTGCGACACCCAAATCCCAACAAGATGAAAACAAGGGCGGCATTTTTTGCCGAAACTAGAGGGATGCCCAGCATTTTGTTTGTTGTCGGTTGATTTTCAAATGACACCGGAAACCCAAAAGGACAACTGAACTGGAAATAAACATGTTTGAGGTCGACACCAAAAGCCAGAAATAGGTTGGAACCCCTACAAAAAAGGTTGAAAGGGTGCTGCATCCCCCTTCCTGGTACAAAACAAGTTGAAAACAGGGTGCCCGGAATCCACTGGTTGCTTGCCAAAGATGCCGGTCAAGGACCCGTAGGTGATGCCCAGGTTCAGCACAAAGGCCACCAAGTTGGCCCAGTTCCTCTGGGTGAGTACGTTGCAAAATATGTCCAAAAGCCAAGTCTTGGCCCACTCCAAACACATGTTCAGTCTACCCCAAGGTACGAACATGGTGTTTGAAGTTTTGGAGGGGACCTCCAACAAGACAAGAAACACCCCAAGGAACATTTCAAGGAACCGAAGCAAACCCGTGTCGCGATTCAATGTGAGAAGTTCTTCAGCGCAAAGCTAGGGGGCTCTGTGGGCTCCGGAGTGGTTCGGGGCGCTGTTGGGTTCCGGAAGGGGTGCGGTTGGGGATACCTACGGCCATGTCATACTGGACATGGGAAACGTGGGGTTCCGTCCCCTGGCTGTTGGTGGGAGACCCATACCCAAATTCCCTTCTACGTGGTGAGGGACAAAGCATGGGTCACACAAGCTACCCTTGAAAATGCAAACACTTGGGGCCCCGTTCGGGCTGAAGGGCTCAAGGGCCCAAAAAGGCTTTGCCTCAAACACCCAAATGCGCTTCGGTCTTCGGCTCCAAAAGAGCCTAGACAAAAATGGTGCAACGCCTCAAGCACCCTGAAACAACACGATCAGACAACACCCTCAAACAGCCTACCTTTGCCTCCATTTGCTTAAGCCCACGGGAGGGAAAAAAAATATTTCCAGCAGTGATAGATTATCTTTAAACCAAACAAGGGAAAATAACACATTTTCTTATGCAAACGGAAGTTTGGTCTTGGGGCTCAGTTTCATGTGATCCCTCCGCTCTTTGCTTCGCTCCTCCACGAGGGCTTCTCCGACGCCATGATGCCGAGAAAGGAAAACCCGCGGAAAACGCTCAGAAGGGCAGTGGCAGCGGCATCCTGCTTTCAAATCTGGGGCACACACAAAAGAGTATGGTTTTGTCAGATTCTGGCCCATATTTAGTCCCCTCGTTTTCTCAGCTTCCCTCTCATTTGTGGTTTGGAGGTTGGTGGCTTCCATTTACCCTCTAAAAGAACAACATGTTTGTTGGCCAAAATCCGGAATACACCCAAAAAGGCTCAATTTCCCAGAGTGTGGCCCATCTTTTCAGAAACAAATAGGCCAATCCTCTCTGCGTGGTTGTGGACAATAGCCTTTTCTGTGATACCAAAGTGGGATTCCCTTGCCCATACGTTATTATGACTTCTGACGCAATGTCTGCCGCGGGAATCAAAAGGACCGCCAAATATGCCAGAGCGCTTTTCGAGGTCTGAAACACGCGAGAAAAAATCGCAAAAAACAATGCGCTTTTCTACAATGATGTCCGCGGCGGGAACCGAAAGGAGCGCCGAATATGATGCCTCAGCTCAGTACAAGAGCCATACAAGAAGTACACTTTGACAGCCCAGCTTAAACATCGCAGCATTTTAGTACTAGTCGAGTACACGAGCCGCCCCAGTTGAAGCATCACAACTTTTCAGTAATACATACCCCTCTGCGAAACTTCCGCTCGCTCTTCCGCGGTCTTCCGCGACCGCAGCGCTGTAACACCGAATATGATTTCACATTCAGCCCTTACACAAAAAACATAAGCGGGGTTTGGTCCATCCTCATCTCTCTATATATATATATATATATATATATCTGCTAAGCCCCCCCCAGAAAAAATGCAGAAAGCACAACTAATATTTGGTGAACTGCATTGGCATGGGTACTGTCCAACTTCTGCGCTGGCAATCGTCCAAGCGCCCGCACCAAGAAGAGCGCCGCAATCACCAACCAGGGCCGTGTCAACGCCTCCGGGCGAGCGGCATGCTGCGGCGGTAAGACCATGGATCCTTGGCAACCCCCAATTGACGGTGGTCCTTTGATTTCCCTTTAAAACAAGAACAAACAATCCCAGAAAAAGAACAAACACATCCTCGCAAGAAAAAACACACACCCAAATATCTTCTTTGTTCATCCTTTTGGTCAAGGGCAAAGATGTAAGATGCCACCAAACGTTGACCCAGGATCCTGTGTTTCTCCTTCGCGGCTCCATTCTTTCAGGGCTATCCACCACAGGATCACTCGCTTCAGGCGTGTAATGTTGAGCAGCGATTTAGCAAGAGGAGTTAATACTAAAAAACATCTGACAACTATTCCCTCACCTGACAAGCAATAAGGGCAAATACACAAAAATTGGGGCCAAACAATCCGGAATGTTTTCCAGGATAAGAATCAGTTTTTTGGTCGGCAATGTCTGAGCTTGTTGCATCCACCTGCTCCATACCCCAGTCCCCACTTCAAGAAAGGATCTGTTCTAAGTGACCCAAACGCTACCAAGAAGGGCTTCACTGAGATCCGAAGCGGCCGGACCAATTATGACACTCTTCACTAACTGCCCATCCAAATGTTCAACAGGGTACAGGGAACACCCAAAAGTAGTAACTGGTTTAATATAGCACCAAGCCAATACTAACTGGTACTTACTGAAGACTTAGACAGGCCCATTCTGATCCCCATGTGTTTTAGGTTTTTCTCTATTGGCCCCCCAATTCATATCACCATCCTCCACAGGTCCACGTCCACATCTGCGTACCCTCTGGGTCCAAAGGATGTAGTCCAACGGGGCTATACATGATATACATATATATATATACTTTCATGTATGGGCATGAAATATAATACATATATATATATATGAACATATCATATGTGCATATCCACAATATCTATAGTATATTCATATGTATGTGTCACTCTATATTATCTGTAATTTGGAACCTGTTGGTGGACATCATGTACTTGTGTGATTTATGCCCGCCTACAAAACAAACTGTGCCTCATCACATGACATTACCATTTCATTCATCATGCGTGCCATCCTGTGAAAGCAACCATGCTCCAGAGTGCGCTCCTGCCAATCAGCGAAAGTAGCCTTAGATCATGGATTCAAACCCCACCCCTACATTGAAGGACACCAAGGGGGTTAAGGGTCAGGGGAGTAGATCCTGTGGCTAGAAGGATGAGCACACAAACCAAACAACGAGCTCTTCGTAGCGAAACCTGCGCTTGGAACTCCCGTTGGTTGGTTGAAAGGGCTCCTTCTGCAGATTTCTCTGGATGGAAACTGATCCATGGTTAGTCTGAAGATGTGAGATTTGAGAGTCAGCATGACAGCACAGGAAGGGTGTCAAGTTGCCCCATGGCTGTCCGGCCCCCAAAGCAGGGACCTGCAACAGGCCTTATAGGTCGCCTTTAGCGAAATTCGGGGGTCCGGGGGCAGGGGCCTTGACAATGGAAAACTTGGGGCCGGTCATATCATGGCCCAAGCGAGACACTTATGCAGCCATGTTGCTAGGCTCCGCATTTTGCAGTTGCCTCGGACCCGAGCGTCGGGATTGCCTGGGAGTTTGACTTGGGCGGCCAAAATGTGTCAACCATTAACAACTCACAATTGCCATTGTTCCCCAAGACGACATGTGCAAATTGGGTTGGGCCCTCGGTTGTTGTGGGAAATTTGCGGTCCCCCCCCTTCCCTCCCCAAAGCAACAGTGGACTATTGTCACTGTCTCGTACGTCAGCAGGCCCCAATCAGTGCTTCTACCTTGTTGATCCTTTTTTGAAGGCGCATATATGAAGGTGCCAGCTCCCCAATCTGTGGTTTTTGTTGTTGCCCGCACGCTAAACACCTCAAGCACCGTCCAAAATTCATCCCTGGACGGATTGCAAAACGGCAACTGGTTCAGTGGCCAAGCAAAGTGAACAAACTGTTGCCCTTGACCAACAAAATGAAAATACTGGCCACAAAGCTCAAATCTTGCTAATTTTACGGATAAGGTAAACAACAGCTCGGAAAGGGTGTGACTGATGTTCCTCCACTGAGGGGATCAAAGGGATCTGGGGTGTGTCACGGTCACCTTGAGATGCTTAGACGGTCCGCCGTCCGGGACCAACCGTGAAGTGATAAGTGGTTAGATAACCATAGTAATACACCGGTCCCCAAAGCAGGTGATAACCAGGGTTCCTACGCATTTAGCTAAGTTTAGGACCACCTAAGTAGGGGACCCCGCAAAAAGAAAAAGAAAAAAAGAAAGAAGTGTGAGGGTCTCCCCAATTTCCCATATCGGCGTCCAATATTCGGATGTTGTTTGGCTTCAAGACAAAGCCCAAGACACTGGACAACTCCAACTCCAACGTCAACACTGTGTCGTCTCTTGGCAGCCACCCTCTACTGCTGGAACGATGGATCTGCCTACTGAGCAGAAGCAGGCAATGAAGGGCGGCTGACTTTTGGCTGCAAGCCTGAGGCCCTAGACATTGATTAGGGAATGGGTCAGCGTGCCTCGGACAAAAAAGATGGAGTTGCTGGGCGCCAATAGGGTGTCAGGGAAAATCCTGGATTTGTGGTTGCCTTCACGTAGGACCAAGCGCAGACCAGGGGCTATTAACACCCAGGTTGATTTGCGAGGCTCTTATTATCAAATTCATCTCGTGCTTACTTGCCAGTAAGGGCAATCCGGAGCTGCCAAACTGGTAGCCACTGACAAACACACGGGACACAAGTGTTGAAAAGGGGTTGGTTTGAGGCACCAGCGACATGTTCGCTTAATAGCATGTAGATGTTAAACATGTTGTGTGTTTGCAAACACACAGCTGGATTCAAATGAGCGGAACCGAAGAACCCATCGACGGTTGCTTCACTGACATGGCTTAGCAACGGCTTATCAACCGGCCTCAGCATCCCAACGAAACCGGGTAGGAACCGAATCACCCACTAAAGTTGCCCTTTTGGGAAATCAGATCTGGGCGCTGCTCAAACGGTTCGTATACCAGATCAAAGGCTAAGAGCGAAAGCCCACGTCCAAGATTCGGTCTCCTTGGCACAATGATCTTTTAAGCAACCATTCACAGTTTCAAAGGGAACCAAGAGGAAAACCCAAACCCATTTTGGGGGGTCCAATCCTTATGTTGACGAGCACCCATGGGAAAAAGACCACCCCAAATTTCCAGCGGCTTGGGAATTGGTTCAAGGCCACACGGATCACTTCTTCGACTTTCCCGTCGCCACAAAGCGGCAACCCTTTTTCCGCTGGAGAGGGGAAGGCTGGGCGTTTTGGCAGCCACTCTCTGGGGACTTGGGGAAGGGTATTTGATCGCGCGAAGCTGGCAATCGATGGTTTCTGAAATTTGTTGTTCCTAGAGTTGGGTCATCCGTTGAGTGGGTTCTAACTGGGGTCCTTGGGGATGATACACACGATATGTTTCCCTATGCAAGCTGGAACCTGTGACAGGAAACGCCCACTTTCCAAGCTCCAGCAGATCGTTGGAATCAGGCACCAGGCTCCATTGCAAAGGGCGAAAGATTCGAAGTGTGATATCTATCTATATATATCTATATGTATACAGTATAGATATAGCTACATATGATAAAGATTCCTATCTATACATGTATTTATACACATCGTGTGCCCGTTTCTGTGCAGTTTGAGCATGCTGATATGCCGTATCCATTTGCTCAAGATTCTACTGATAGCCAGCATTACCAATCAGGACCATTCCCTTTACAGCCAAACAGGGGGTTCAACAAACACCAATGCATCAACTGGAAGCACTGAAGCACTGCAAAGCTGCAGGGAGATATATCGCGAACGGCTGCACGAGCAATTGGCCGAGAGGTGAGATTGGTACGCTTGAAATTCCCGAAGAGCATGGGATCCTTTCTAATGCTTGAATTACCTACATGCGCCATATGGAGTCAAAACTCCTTGTTGGTGTCATGGTCAGCTGGAGAGTACCTGATGTTGCTGCTACCAACCAACCTGAATCTTCATCAATCAGGGGCATGTTTCAGATTTTCACACACCTCTCCATATGCAGGGAGGGGGAGTACGGATGTCTTGGGCCCCTGATAGGCTCAGCTTGCAAAGACGAATCACGGCACCAGCTGCGGTTTTTTCATTTCACAAGATCTCGAGTCTGTCTCGCATGGTCCAGTTGTAGGAGGAGCGATACGCCTGGCGACGGTGCTGAACGGCTGCTCGACTCGGTGATCAGTTCTAGACTCGAAAACCAAAGGGAAGTGCATGTCAAAATGCATTGAGAGAACTGTGCTGACTCGAAATTCTGCTCCGTTGATCATGACGATAAGGAGGAGGAGGAGGAGAAGGAGGAGGAGGAGGGGTGGAGGAGGAGGATACCATCTCTGAAAGGTGCCCTGGTGTTGATTTTGTGCAAGCAATGCATGCGTTTAGTCGTTGCTGCTAAGGCCTCACATGCTGTTGAGGTCAAACAAACCCGGATATGTGTATAACTCACAGGTCCTTCACTGCAGGTTATGCGGCTGCAGTTTTGAGGGCAGCCATTCGCTTCTTTCTGCTTGGCTGATGGCAAAGAGTGGCTACGCTGATGCACCATGCCAGCAAAATTGGCAACCTGTCACCACTCAGAGAGAGCCCTGATAAAACCCAATCACTTTCAAATTCGAACGTTTGCCAAGCATGCTACCCTTGGTCAAACCATCGATTTGCCCATGTCATACTTTTTGCTTCAGTAGATGATCGGTGCATATTGACCCTTGCGCTTCTTCGCCACGGTCAACCAACACGGGGCCTGCCTCTATTTTGACGCATAGCCAGCTAGGGATTAATTACCTGTTTCGACAATCGACAAATCGTGATTGGCATTTTGGATTGCTGCCAGTTGACGAATGTTGCCGGCCTGCTCAACAGAGTGCGTCCAGATATTGGGAACCCTCTTCTTGGCAAACAAATAGGCAAAACAAAACAACCAACCAAACAACCAACCAAACAACCAACCAAACAACCAACCAAACAACCAACCAAACAACCAACCAAACAACCAACCAACCAACCAAACAACCAACCAAACAACCAACCAAACAAGCAAGCTTTAGCAAGCCTTGGCAAGCCTTGGCAAGCCCTAGCGAGCCTTAGCAAGCCTTAGCAAGCAAACCAGCCTGCGAGCGAGCTAGCAAACACCACTGAATCTACTATTTGGAAGCGTTACACAGGAGGCACAGCATTGTACCCAAGGGTTGTGCATTGGTATGTCATAACAATGTGGTTGTTTATGCAGCCCCGCACTAAAACAAGAAGAATCAGCAAAGCAGAACTGTAAAAAAAATGATTCCGCCGAAGCAATGGCAGAACCAGCGTCCCTCGAGCAACAAAAACACACGAGACATGCAAATCCGAAGAACACCGAAGGGCAAGTCGCCCTTCAAGGGATCTCCACTGAACTCGAGTGAGATGGCGCAAAGAGAGCATGCCCAATCCCTGAAAGTTGGGCAAAGGCTACCAGGCATGGAGCCCTTTAAGTCACTTCCTAAGTGTATGGGTCAGAAAAAGTAGAGTTTGATGGAATACGTGGCTGGCCCTCGCTATTTGAGTAACCAAGATATGTGATCTACGCCAAAAAACCATTGACTTTGGGATTTTCCAGCATGGTCATGATGGTTTATGTGAGCCTTACTCTCTCTAGTAAACTAGAATCACCTACTAAAATGGCCCAGGAGGTTTTTGGGCGCTCAAGAAGGCTTCACCCAGACCTCCAGTGTCAATACGAAACAGAGCCCGCTAAAAAACTCACCCGAGAAAAGAAAGGCCAACCACCGGTCTGGGTTAAATCGGTCGCCAACCTCTTGCCTTGTTTTTGAGAACCCCTTTAGCAAGCCCCAAACTAGTCGTTCGACCTCCATTTTATCTTCTGGATTATTCCAGGAACGGTTCCACATCCGTTTTGTAAATCCCTAAGCCCAATCGGGCTGGGGATGTGATTTACACAAGAGCCAAAAGAGCTGTGAATATTTTTATGAGCAACCAAACAACAGGTCCATCGTATATGCCTCAGTACCCTTGCTTCTTCAAACAACTCCCTTGGCCCAACCCAAGGGTACAAGGGAAATACTTCTACCTCCCAAAAAACACAATGCATGTCAGAGGAGATTTCAGCAAAGCTTTGGTGGGCTGTCGGAAAGAAATCGGATCACAAAAAAAACATTTAGGTTTGACAATTCCATTTGCGGGAGCGCAGTTGACGCCCTACATGAATTGGGCGTTCTAGCTTCTTAGTATGCAAGGTATAACCATGGTAGCGGAACTAACCCCTGTTACCCCGGTAACCTTCTTATCTGAAGTTGGCAACGAACATCAAAGCACCTCCCGCCCCAAGCGTGCCGGGGTCACGACGCGGCCATCGTATGCCGTGCCTTGGAGCAGCGGTTCCAGGGCTGTCGCCCAGCGGCGGTCATACCTGGCGCGGCCGGATTTTGACAGTCTCAAAGAGCTATTGTTTTGTTATTCGGGGACTGAGGTGGATGTGTCTCAAAATAGGATATGGAACCCAAAAGGGTGGTTGAGTTTCCCTTCATTTCCCTTCATTTCCCTTCAGTCCCCTTCATGTCCCATCGTTTACCTTCATGTCCCCTTATCATGGTTCTGACATACTTACAAAGTAGCTACGCCCAAGTTTGGGCTTGGGAATGGGGATTCCTGTTTCTCTATAATGACTACAAGTCTACAAGAGTATCCCACTTCTTTCATAGGGGGTTTCTTGTTATGTCCGACCTACCCAGCGCCCAGCGCCCTTGCTTCCATTTTTTAGAAGGTAAACCCCTTCAACATCTAGCCCAATTTGGCTGTATGTTCCGGAACGCACCTGGCTGATTGAACCATATACATCCAACGAGTGCCAGCCAAAGAAGACCTGACGGTGCCCTTTTGGTGGTTGTGCTAAAGGGAAATGATTGGAAACTAAAGGGAAATGAATGGAAATGAATGGACAGTGAAGGGAAATGATGGGAAATGAATGACAATGAAGGGAAAAAGGGAAACTGAAGGGAAATGAAAGGAAATGCATGGAAAGGAAGGTGAAGCACATGCTAGTCTCAATTGCCAGAACGCTCAAAACATTGTTGGTTTCATCAACACAAGGCAAAAGTACAGTTCTTGCATCTCACGGCCACATGCGGTGAGTTGGTTGAATATCCAAGGGGGTGGTGGGGTCAAAATTAAACACTGGATCGATGCCCAAGCTTTGTCGGCAGACCCCTCGGTGGCAGGTCCAGGTGCATCTTGGCGAAAACGGTACAGAACCTCACGGCCGTTTTCAGTGCGAGCCGAAACCCAAGGTTAATTTTGCCTTGCTGCTCCACGACCCCTTTAAAATGTTGTTACGCAACAGAATGGGGTTGTGGCCCCATGTTTGAAGGGTCATGGACACTCCAGGCATGACAATTGAGAATGCTTCAGAAGCGACACCGCCAGGTTTGAAAACTGTAGGGAGAAACCAAATGGATTTGAATCTTTTTGAGGGTACCCATTTCAGGTTGGTCTGGAAGGCCAAAAGGACAACCACGATTTTGGGGTCCGTGTTTCCAGCCAAGGGGCTGGTTCTGCAAAGCAGTTGGGCCACGCTTGATTCTCTGACTATAAGTCAGCCAACTACAAACCCATTGGAATTCAGGAGAAGCTTGCGATTCCCTACTTGCAACACTTCTGCTTTTTCTAATGATATATTGGTGAGGGTGACCCACGTTACCCAGCTTTGTTGCAGTACACGATGGTAAACAGTGAAGTCTGGCAAAAGAAAAATTGGACGACCCCCCTTGGATGGCTTTTGAAAGGCAATGGAACCTAACCAGCAATTGTGAAGGCCAAAGGGGTCCTCTATTCAGGCAAGACACAATACATGTTCATAAATTGGTTCTCCCGAGGTGATGCATTTTCACGACTGCGATCGCCTGCGGCTGGCCGGTAACTATGGCCAAAGCCAAGCTTCACATCGGCTGGCGAGGCCGGGAAGCCGGCGCGTCCATCTTCGCACTTGCGAATGGCTCAGCTTCTCGGCTCCAATCAACGAATCAAGCTGATGGAGCTGTCCGCCGCCGCAAAGAAGCAGCTGTCGTCACTCCGCCCGTTGCTTCCCTGCATCCTGAAGCCAAGAAGGTACAGGTCCTCGTGAAGCTGTATGACAGCTTCTGAAGTCATCGTGTGACAGTCTGTAAGGGCACGCATCAGTGGGCACATGCTCAACATGCGTGTTTCGTATGTCTTCGTGTATCAGCTCTCCTGGTCTCTTGCCAAAACATGTGTTGTGAGTGATCAAATGCCATAAGCAAATTTCAAATAGCCTTTGTCCGTTTTTGGTTGCTGTTCGATAAAAGTATCCCTGCACACCAAACCTGCAAGATGTATTTTTTGTTGGTTGAAAGAGACCATGACGGAACACTCAACAGGCAAAAAGAAAACACGGCAAGCTAAGTCTGGCAACTAGCTAACCTTTTCCAACTGCGAAGATCCCTACTTTTAATCCGGAATCTGGCGGATGCCAGGAAATACTACCATCTGGCGTCAGGGTCTTTCTGATTGATCTGGAACAACCCAGCCCAGGGCTTTACCTTTTGATACATTGTGGAATCCTCAGGGAACCAGTCCCCCTGTATTTCCAACCTTGGACACATACGTCTCGACTAGAAAACTTGCAGGACTCCTGAAAGGAAATATCCAAAATCCACCGACGTTGCAGTCCTATCAAGCATCAGGAGAAGCTGGCCAGCTGGCCGAAATGTAATGAGAACCCCACATTAATAAACCTAATTAATCGGGGGGTCGCACTCACAAAAGTGAATGATTCCTACCCAAGGAAACACCCTCCGATCAAATCTCTACCAGGAGTGTATCAATCTGGTGTCAACATTGTCCACACAGTAGGGGATCAAGATGATTGTCCAGAAACTTCCATGTGCTTAAGCCCCCTAGGAAAAAAACACAAAAATCCAGTAGTGATAGATTCCCTTTAAAACCAAGAGGGAAAACTAAAAAACATTCTCAAGCAAATGGAAGGAAAAGGGCACCCCCGACTCCTCTAAGGCCCCTTTGGGAAGATCTGCGAGGCGCCGGCGTACGGAAGCTGTATTGGCTTCCTGTCCAAGCGGCCAGCTGCGCCTCAGCTCATCCGCGGACGCCCTCGTAGGAAGGATGTGTCTTGTGTACGCATCTTTCAAGGGTCTCCAAGAGTTGTTTTGGGGGGGTTCAAACTAGAAAACATCTAGAGGTAAGTTCCCCATTCTTTCCAGGGATCCTTCTTTCTAGAAAACCACCAAAAACCCTGGGGAAATGGCTGGTTTTTGAAAAGAATGAAGTGGAATCAACCCCTAGAAAACAGTGATCCGCTAGAATGGTTGGTATCCTTTTGGCTTCCCCAAAAGGGAAAGGCCAATAGGAGCAAGGCCTTCAGTCATTTTGACAATCTGTTTGAGAAACACTCACAAGGAGGGTAAGGCGGCATAAGGTCGCAAATCAGTAAAATGCAGTTGTGGGGTCACTTAAAGCCAAATTATGTCATGATAAGAGCCACATGTTCGTGCTTCTTTGGCCAACCCAAGTGATTTGAGCCATGCTCAAAACAATTGTTTCCCCAAGATGACCTGGACTAAAAAACAGGGCTTGTCTCCTGGTTTTGTGAAATTTAGACTAACCTCAAAGGGAACCTTTTGCGGGAAAAAAAGAGAGAAAAAAAAAGCTCCCCATTGGGTCGGGTCAACTCGGCGATGAAGCCGGGCGTCCGGGCGGAGGCACTGCTCCATTGACTTGGTCATGAGCTCATCAAAGGCCTTCTCGGACATACGGTCAAAAATGGGGATCCTGGCCGCGTGTGCGATTCCGCGCGGAAAGGTGCGGGAAAGCTGCATGGGGTAAATGGCAAACATGGTAATGGCCAGCTACAGGACTCCCTATTTTTTTACTTTGAACATCACCCTGAAAGGACACTCACCACATAAGTTGGCCACAAGATGATGCGAGAAAAACCATGAGCAGATCAGGGGAGCCCTAAACTTTGCAGTACAAAAGTCCAAAGGTCGGGAATGGCTGGGAAATTGTTTCCCCAAAAGTTCGGGAACTCCTACGTGCCACACCCCTGTCTTACCAAATTCATCCAATCCGCTCCCAGTCTGGGGCCAAAAGTTTCGGTTACCACGGGACCCGCCGAAAAGACGGCGGAGCGATCTGAGCGAACTCAACCTGCGGTCCATTTGAGTCGATTTGGGTCCCAGATCCTGACCCCTTTAAGCGGGGACGAAAGGGGTCAAATAAAGGGCATTTCCCCGCTACTGGGCGGGCTAGTGCTTGCAGTTGCCGTGTTTTGCCTCTAGCTTTGGCATGACTGATTGCTTTTTTTACCTGCTATTTTGGTCTGCGAATGGCCACGGAAGCAAAAAACGGATCCAGCCCTCCGGAAGTCCGTATAGAGGAGTCTCCCTGGTTTGGGTGCAGCCTTGTCCGTCATCCTCTGCGAGGATTTGTGTGGGAAAAAGGGAGCCCTTTTTGTTGGTCGGATTTTGATCAGCCCCCTTAAGATTTGCGATTTTATTGGTGAAAACTGAGGGACCCCCCTTTGAAGCGAAACCATTCAAAAGAAAGGAAACTGGGTGCCCCACCATGGTTCTACCCTACTTGCCTGCCGGTGCCACATCCTACCCAACAGGACGTCTCAATCGCCGCAGAGAAAAGCCAGCAACGTTTAAGGCACAAACTGTCAAACCAAGCAAGCAACACATATCAACACCACAAACTACCAACAACAGCCCTGGAGAAAAGACAATAGAAGGACTGACACAACCACCAGGCAAAGCTTCAACCTCACAACGCAACACAAAACACCCCAAAAACATACCACAACTACGGCAAAACCCAACACCACAAGACAAACAATCACGCAAAATCAAACAACACACAACAAAACACAGTAGGATAAATCAACACATAGTAACATAAATGACCCAGGGTTTGGGAATGAATATAGGGATTCCCTTCAAGGAAACCAGGAAACCATAGGAGATGGTTTTTGGGGATCATTCCCGCATTCCCTGCTGAGAACCAGAGGACATCAACGAACCGGGCAGCCCGGACTTGGAGCTGCTCGCAAGATTTCCGGCGCAAAGCACCATGTTGAGACCTCGGGTAAGAGGATTGGCTTTGAAAAGGAAACCAGGAGGAACCTGGGGTCTCCTTACCCTTTCAAGCGGGGGATCAGTACCCGAAAGAACGGAAACATGGATTTGTCCTTTTCTTTGGGAAGGGCCGTGGGTCATGGAGACTCCAGGAAAGTGAGCCGGAGTCCCACGAATCGACACGCCCATCTCTCCAAATCAAAGCAGGGTTCTGCTTCATCAGGAGTTACCTGTAAACGGAAACCAAGAGGAACTCCGCTCTGAGATTTGAGCACCAAACAGAAACCAACCGGAAACCCTGCTTTTCCCCTGCTCTTTTTTTCTTCTTAGACTCGATCTGGAATAAAGGCAGCAACTTGGCGATCCAGGCAGATTCTTTTAAAGGCTGAAGAGAAGTCAAAGTGGAAAGGAAGCTGCGAAGGCAGCAAACAGAACTTGCAACCGCCAGCGAACACGGGAGGTGACTCTTTTGGGACCTCGGGAGCATCTGAGAATCTTCTGCCCATTTCCTGGGCCATCTGTTGGCAGATTTGGCCTATTTGCTTCTGGGATTTCGAATACAGCAAATCGGATCCAACATTTCGAACTTCCCTAGTGTGGACCCCATATCAATCAACCCCAATTTAGGGACCCCGACTTATCGAAAAGGCTTAGCAAACGGGAAAAACAAAAGCATGCAAGAAACAGCGACCGGCGACTTGGTTCTCAGCCCACACTGTAGGGCATTACACAAATCGGGGTATGATGTTAATTGAGGGCCCTTTGTTTCTGATGGGTGATATAAACGTTCATAGCCACAGGATTGTGTGGTGAAGACTCAGAAGACTTAGAAGTGCGTTTGATGTGCGCGGCATGGAAAGGTAGTCGTCCCTGTCACTGAACTAAGACGACAAAATCCACGGGCACCAGTTGGATTTGGGAGGGCTTCCTCCATCTCAACTGGGCGTGGCGTGGATTTTGTCCAGCCACAGCATGTTTGGCGAGGGGCTTTTTGGGGGATGTGGGGGGATAAAGATTCCTTGGTGCTTAGGGGTCTGTCTCAAAATGCCCCCTTTTGGACGCCAAGCCAAAGTGTCTCTGGGCCCAGCTCCGGCGTTGTTGGAAGACTCGGAATGCCACCCTCTCAAACTTCTCAAGCCAGCCATCTGGGTGAATCATAAGATTTCAACAACCGAACAATACATATACCCCGAAAGGAACCCAGAGGCTCCTTCGTCTTTGATATACACAATCGATGGGTGCGAGAGTGTGAGGAGCAGTCGTTCGTGCATTACGAGGCCGATCTTGTTTTCCGGCATCGATGAGGTTTGCAATGCTTCACTCTTACATGGATTCGGCGTCAAACATCCGTGTGGCCGCGGAAGGTCAAAGCTGTTCTGTTGACTTGTTTGTAGCATAAATTCGCACCACGTTTGTAAGTATGGTCGGACTGAATGGTTTGCTTGCCTTTCGTTCACAGGAGTTGATAGTTTCAACTTCGGAAACTTGTAAAACCCATTGACCGTGAATTGTCGCCTAATGACCGTGAAATTGCGCCTAATGACCGTGAAACTTCGAGTAATGACCGTGAAATCGCAATGCTTGCCATTTTTGACAACAGAGGGGACATATTTAAGCATTCTCCATTGTTTGCCAACACTGCGCTCACTGGCAACACTTCACAATTTGAGGGCAAATGTGGGTGTTTGGGCAGGAGGCGCTCTGTGCATACATGGAACAAAATGCATGCCGACACACGGCAACACTGACCAAGCGTTGCAGCCCTGACACAAAAGAGCAAGTTCAGCCAAATTGAGAAAACAATCGATCATGATATTCAGCGAGGAGGGTGTGTGAAGGCGTCGGCAGATAAAACGGAGTCGAACGAGCATCTGGGAAACCGTTGGTATAGGTGTTAAGACGTCGCCCCTTTGTAGCTTCTCTTGAGAAGGTCACAATATGGGATCGGATCAATCGCCTCTTGATGTTGATTGGTGCTGTGATGTTGATATATGGGCTAAGTGACCAAAAGCCCAGGTTACAACTCACTTCTGAGCCCCCCACTTCCACGACACAATCCTGTTGTAAGCGGGACATTTCCCGACATGATAACACTCTTCTACCGGCCGCATGAACAAAAAACCCAAAGGCTCCCAGAGCGCCACCGCAACATGCGCAAAGCCATGCCTTGAAAGGGAACCCCGGAAAAAGGACACCGTATTCGGGGGCAAAAGTCTCCAGCAAAGCCCTCCTTCGTCAAACTTAGGTTGCCCACTTTGGGCTAGGAAACATTGAATGGCTCGAAAGTTGATGCCGTCACCCCAATGACGAACCAAGAAATATGGAGCTCGCCTAACAAGAAATATACGCATCCCCGAAATTAGCTGGAAACTCCAAGAAAAAACAGCACGTCCAACACGCGCTCCTTTTCACTAACAGTTGACAAAGTCAAAATCAAAACCTGGCATTTAAGGGATCTACCCAATGGATGTACAGAATCAAAAGGGTGGTCGCATCTATTTCATTTGATTGCGGCTTCAATGGGAACCTCCCAAATTGGGTGCTTCCATTTGACCCCTTTGAACAAGTCCCAACAAACGGGTTTCCTCAAACACGAAAATACCACATGAGCAAGGGGGTGCATTTTGTTCCGCGTCCGTCTGGGTCTCCAAGTGACTCTGGGTCTCCGGGCGCCAGTCAGGTCGGCATCGAAAGTTGGAGCTGGGATTGTAGGGCGCTTGCATTGCAGGGCGGTCCTCGCGTCGCAATTCCTTTCTAACATCCCCTCAGGAGGGAGACGAGTGAGGGGGTCCAAGCCCAGATTTTCGGAGCCTTTCCAAGAGAAGCTAAAATGGAACCCAAAATGGGATTCCAGGGGTCTAACCGGCTAAGGAGTGCAGCAATTTGGAATCCACAATTGGAGTATCTAAAATGTTGCCCAGAAGTTTGCAGGTACCCAGCGAAGCGTCAGGCTTGCTCCCACTCGACACGATCGCAAAAAAAAAAGGGCAGCCAGAAAGCTCGAAAGAAACCAAGGCAATCCAACCGTTTCGTTCCACTCTCGTGTCGTCCTCTAGGAACCGCTCAAGTCGAGCCAACCAGTAAGGACCCCTGGGGTGGGAAAATCAGATTTGGGCGTGTATTAGAATAGGGGAAGCCCAAAACAAGTGGTTCCCTTTGGCTTCCCTTGCAAACCAAAAGATGCGAACATAGGGTTCCCGCAAAAAAACAAACAACATCCACAAGGCGAAGCAGCTCTTCAGAGATCCACCCCACAGCACTGCCGCAACCATTTCACTAGGGGATTTATGCTTCACCCCAATTGATGAATGTCAGCATCAGCCCAAAAGGTATTAACGCCAAACGAGAAATATAGGAAGCCAACAAAAACCGGGGGGGGGGGGGGGGGAGTCCACAAAGGTTTCAAAAAGGTCCGGGCTGCTTGCCTAGACTTGGTGTGGGCCATGCTGCAAGCATTTCCGAACGGGCTGCTCTTGTCCTCGAATTCTTTGTCGTCACGCCGCCAAACCTTGGCAAATTGATGGCGTCCAAAATCTAAGAACCGCCCGCAACGCCGGTGGGCGTTGTGCTAGTTGTGTGTGATTTTCAGGTTGGTTTAAAAGGAACAGTTGTTTTGGTCCCTTAATTTTGAGACATACCATGTTATACTATTCTTAAACATCCAACAACCACCCCATATGGGCTTGTTCCAAAGTAGGGAATCCGTTGGAACAAGGTAGCGCGTGCGACAAACGAAAGCGTCCGTCATTTCTCTTGGCACAACCGCTCAAACAAATACCATCAAGCATGACACTGTCCGCATTCTGCTGCTCTTGTTTGATATGGGTATCCCGGTTTTTGAAGGTGCCCTCTTTTTGGCGGCTTCAAAGGGACTAAGGGAGAACATCTGTTTGCGTTCCCCTGTGGTAAACACATCACTGGCAATACCAATGGCTTATAGCAACCAATGAGGCCTGTTGGGGACTAGTAGGGTTCCTCTTAGGGGTCCGTTTTTGGTGTGGGGGGGCCCTGACAACCCTGGAACCCAGTATGTTCAGATGCTGTTTCATATTTTGTTCTTGGTCCTCCAGCAGCTTGTCAAACGCCAACGCTCCTCCATGACGCCTTTCTTCTCCAACACCGTCTTGAACATTTCAAGCAGATCCTGGCCCATCTTTTCCTTGTCCGCAGTGCTCACAGAAGGTAAGGCAGGACTTGCTGTTGGCGCGTTGCCTCTTGCTTTCTTCATGATGGGGATCAAGGGCTTCCAGAGAAACTTCTCGAACACTGGGTTCCTGTCCTTCAGCAAGGCTTTTGCTGGCTGGAGCGATGCATCGTGGCCCAAGCCCACGAGTATGCTGTCAGAGCTCTCGCGGCTGCCGAGGCCCCGAGGCGGTGTCGATGCCTCGCACATTCTCCTCAACTCGCCTCTCCATGTCTTGCGTGTTGTTCAAACAACGCCCCAAAAAATCGGTGGAAACGACGACACGTGATCTGCAACAACATGGAAACCACCGAATTCGGCAAACAAACGCAATCCCCCTTTTGGGTCCCCCTTATCCAGTAAAGCGACATCCTCAAACGTCAAATGCAATTCAAGAAGGCCTCAAAATGCAACCACTTTCAGGGAAAGGTCGAAAAATAAACACTAGCGACACCATTCGGTCGTTGAAGAGCTCTAGAGGTCGATTCTCCATTGTGTTCAACAATTTCCACAAGCCCGCCCTTTCCGCTGGGATTGGGGCTTGCCCTGAAAAGAATGGGGAGGTCAGAGGACTAACGCATTCCCATGCCCGTGCAACGCATCTTCAAATTTGACAACAATCTTAAGACCTGAATTTGAGGGATCAAAGTAAGGGACCATTCATGGTGAGCTCGCTTTATAGCCAAAATCAGAATCCCATCTCGGCCCAACAAAAGGGTGTACCAAAAAATACATTCAGATGCTGTTTCATGTATAGCCAACCTCAAGATTTGGGTCTGAATTTGAATTCGGGACCCCTTGGTCGACATCATTCACCAACCACTTTGGATGGTGTTCCCTATTCAAGTTCATGGCCATATAACATATCGTCTGCAGCGACAGCCATGGCCCCTTGGAGTTGTTTGCCTCATAGCCACGGAGGGCCCCAAGCGTCCGGGCCCTGACCAGCCAATTCATCAGCCGCGCGCTGGCTGGGGCCATCTGACTCCTGAGAACCTTGCCGAGTGGAACAACTTGCTGCTCGCCCCTATGAAGGGGGCGGTTCTTGGACCTTCAACCTTAGCAGGCCATACCCATGGGTAGAACTGGGGTTAACCCCCTGGCAACCATGGTTGTAACCTACTTAAGTAGCCTGAACAATCAAGTGTTTTCCCCCCTGTGAAGGGTAGCGCACCCGAGGTTGATCAAACAATAGGTGTTGAAGCCATGGGTCAAATCCGCCGACCCCATGCCTGGTCCACAATGGACCATGCTTTTGGCATGGGGGCGGTGTGTTCTGTGTAGCTTTGTTGATATGTATTCTATAGGTTTAATGTTAATATAATTGTGTATATATATATATATATATATGTCTCTTGGGGCGGGAAAATACGTCGGCTGGATTTCTGGATCTCTGGATCTCTGGATGTCTGGATGTCTGGATCTCTGGATCTGTGGACTTCTGGATCTCTGGATCTCTGGATGTCTGGATGTCTGGATCTCTGGATGTCTGGATCTCTGAATGTCTGGATCTCTGGATGTCTGGATGTCTGGATGTCTGGATGCACGCGTGCTTTCTCTCGCCCCAGGCCGAAATTCTAAGGTGTATGGGGGCGGCGGAACCAGGCCGCAGACCATTAAATGGAGGTTTGGCGAATATGTTGCTGGTTCTTGGTAGAGACTGCGGGGTCATGACCCTCAAAAACTGGACCCTCAAAAACCGGCAAACAGGTGGAACAAGGGGTCCATAGGGGGTGCAGGTTGCCTCCAAATGAGGAACAACAACCTGCCCTCAGCAGATTTGGAAAAGACAGGCTCGAAACAAGAAAGCGGGAAAGCTGCCCTTGTTCTTCTGCACATTGTTTAGGGTGTCCTACCCGTTACTTCCTGGTTCTCAGTAGGGAAGCAACCAGGCGTTTGGGAATGAAAAAGGGATCAGGACACCCCGAGACATGGCGCAGACGGGGTCACGTTTATTTTATTCCCTCCTGAGGACCAGCAAGAAAAAGGGTTCCAAACTGACAATTGAGGATCCTTTTCGTTGTCTTTTGTGTGTAGGGAGACCAATCCATCCTCAGGCTGACCCCTATTTGGACAAAGTAGCATACAACACCTTGGCAGTCTGCTCGGTGAAATAAATTGCAGCTCTTGCGACCAAGTTTGCATTGCATCGATTGATATTCTCGGATCGGCGGTGAACGCAGGCTTGATTTTTGAGGCCGCAGTCCCAGGCCCTGAGCCTGGTAGGATAATTACTGTGGGCTTCAGGTAGCAAGTTGGTTGGTCCATTGGACCATGAGCGATGCACTCTCGCCCTTCATTCAAAATGGGGTCATGAGTGCGATTCAAATAATCAAGCCTGATAAAAAGGAGTCTACCCAAAACCATGTGAGCCATGAAGTTCCCAAAAAGGGCATGGGACAATTAGTGAGCCCCTTCTGTCCCGTGTCCCTCCCGCATGGACAATAGACTACTGGTAATTTTAACTAACTGAATCTCATATGAGGGTTCATAAGGAATGCCAAAAAAAGAGGTGCCTCTTGACACGTGCAAAACTGGGGCAGTTTGACATTTTGAAGGGGCCCGGCCCCCTCAAAAGAATTCCAAGCGTTCTCTTTTCTGGGCATGTCGCAAAATAGAGACACCCCCACCCCCGGGTATACCACATATCATTGGTTTTGGAGGGGTCTTGTGATGTCTTATGCATCTGACATAAGGTTTTTGTTGTACATACCCCTTGCTCCCCTGTGTGAATGAGCCCGAAAGGCTTGCTGATTGTACCCACCCGGCTGACCTTCAGCAAGGGGCAAGGCTGATTCCCAAACATAAAGAACATGAACCAAGCGCACATACTATGGCCCGAACCCTTGTTACTTGCGACACTACTCATCTCCCGTGCGGATATGCCAAAACAGTACGACACGTTGTTGCCACTCCTAATAGTGCATCAACTCCAGGAACTCGGGAAGTGAGTAGGGCCCCCCGGTTTTCGGAAACACCCATATATCGATGGCGCTATTCACATATGCGCCTTGGTCGAAACTCCTCCCTTGCATGGTTGTCTAGATCCCCTACTACTTCATGACCACAGAGGTGTTTAGATTAAAGTTTAGACCATGGCACATATGGAAAGTGAGACTCTTGAGGGCCCTGCCAGGTGCTCCAGCTCGGCTAAGGAAAAGATATGACCGGCCACCACGTAGGAGCAGTTGTTGTAGAATCCCAGCAGCTGTCTGTGGAAGCTCGACGAAGTCGCAATCACGAACCGGGCAAACGGGTCGGGTGACAACAAAAAGAGTCAAAGGGCACTTTACGAATGCGAAAAGGGGCATACTGTCCTTTGACTATTTGGGTCACGCCCCCCTTGTTTGGTCGAAACAGAATCTAAAGGGCAGAAAGACGCTTCTGATTCTGATTCCGGTTGTTCAATCATTGTCAAGGGCCGGCCCCGAATCCCAATGCCCAAAATAAACGACGAGTGCTCTGTGAATAACAAGGTAACAAGGTCTAATTGGTGTGGGCCGCTTGCGGTGAGATTCCACTCTTTTGCCTTTGACCATTTGGGACTGTACCCAACCTTGCTCAAGTGGCTCATTTGGGGGGGGGGTCTCTTGCATTTTCAGTACCAGGGCCGAGGGAGAATTGGGGGCAAAAACCACCGGCTGCATCTTGGGCTAGAGGAACACCATATACATGAAAGGGTTTACAACCATGTGAGCCACCCTCAAACTTCTTGTAGTCGAGTAAGTCCTCGGGCTTTTGTGGGAAACTTCGGAAACCACCGTTCCACCAGGGCAATGTACCGTTTAGGTTCCTCCGGAAACGAGGCCAACCGGATTGTCCAACTTCCCGATGTCTGTGGCCATATGGGCGTCTCTTTTCAGGATGCCCTGCTTAGGGAAACCAAAAGGACAACCGCATTGTTTTGTGGGGGGGGGGGGGGTGGGGGCTCCACCGACAGGGAACAATAAAACATATTCTGGAAGACCCTCAACATTGAAACTACAATCCACAAAGCAGAAAGGAGCCCAAGGCCCTTCGGGCGAGGTCATCTGCTCCTTCATCCGGGCTGTTGCAGGGATGCCTTCTTGGAGTTGACCGGTTTCTCGGGAAGAGCCCACCAAGCAAAAAAGCGGGGCTTAGAAGGTGGAATCCACAGAACAATTGGGAACTAATTGAGATCAAACCGTGCTAAGTGGGTATGTGTGCTCTTTTGAGGGCACCGTTTTCAACTTGGTTTGAACACATACGGAGCGACGTATCCTTTAACACCAAATAAAGTCATGACCGCGAGAAATTCGTGGGAATTTTAGCCCCCGGCCTGAGGTTGCGGGGTCGGCTGTAGAGGATGCAGGCATGCACCAGCAGGCTGTGATAGACGTTCATCTCAGAGACCCATCCGGGGGATTTTCCCTTTCCATCTCAACCATTCTCAACCAGTCCTGGGTGTGTTGCTGGCTTTCTGAAAAGCAGTATCCCCGGAAAGAATCGGGAAGCTACTCCTTGAAAAATGTGGGCTCCCCCAACGAGCTTCACGTTCCTTGTTCCCAAAATCTAAGGAAGCGTTCTTGCAAGCACCTATGCTAGTGGTCCATTTTTTTGGTTTTTGGTTCCCGGGGCGACTAAGCAATTCTTCATGTTTTTCGACAAAAGAAGGGAGGACTACCCAAATAAAATAGAGGGCCTCTAAACAAAACCCGGTCTCACAGCGACGTTTCCTTTTGCTTTGGTCCCAACTTTGAGAGTGGGAGTCCAACTGTGCATCTTTGGCTCTGTGCATTTCTGAGACCCCATGACGGCCATATCATGACCAGACATGCCCCGACTTTAGACACAACATGAAAACCAGGACAAAATCGCTCACACCAAAACATGCTCGTTCACGGCAAAACAAAGTCGTTCACGGCAGTTTCACGCTAGCTTCACAGTGCTCCAGTTGTCCGTAACATTTCACTGGCCTACAGCAAGCAGGTACACTGTTTTTAGAATTTTGCTCTTCTTGCAATTCGCACCAGCGGACCCCAGGTTAGGAGCCTCAAGTTGCAGAAAAGGTCCGTTCACGGCAAGGAAAGGTCGGTCAATACAAACAAATGAGCCATCCTTTGTTTTAAAGGATGCTGACTCGCAGGGCAAGTATAACTAACTGGCACTCTCCAACGACCAAACGTCCACAACCCCATGCGCAGTCCAAAAAACAGTCCCGGAAGCAATGTCCATTGATCATAAAGGCATCTCAATTTAGGGGGACCCCACCCGATGGGGTTTCATCCATGGGTTCAAGCCCTAGAAATAGAAGGTTAACCTTTTGGGGCCATGACTAAGAATGGACCAAATCGGCTTTGGGCAACTGAGGTCTCTGTTGGTGTTGAAACAATTTTGCTTTACACACGTATATATATATATATCAATAATATGTATTTATTTATTGATATATATATATATATATATGTATACGTATATATATATATGTATTTATGTGTATATATATATTATGTACATATACATATATATATATATATATGGGTTTGTATTTTTTAGGGTGGCCGGGCAGGAAGGTTTGAGTACGGGGTATGATTCGCAGGTATGATTCGCGGGTATGATTCGGGGTATGATTCGGGGGTATGATTCGCGGAAGCAGCAGCAGCAGCAGTAGTAGTTGCAGTCGTCACCGAAGTAGTAGTACTAGTAGTAATATTGAAGTAGTAACAATGGTAGTAGTAGTAGTAGTAGTAGTAGTAGTAGTAGTAGTAGTAGTCGTAGTAGTAGTAGTAGTAGTAGTAGTAGTTAGTTAGCTAGTTAGTTAGTAGTAGTAGTAGTAGTAGTTGTAGTAGTAGTAGTAGCATTAGTAGGAGTAGTAGTAAATAGTAGTAGCAGTAGGCCTACTAGTAGTAGTAGTAGTAGTAGTAGTAGTAGTAGTAGTAGTAGTACTAGTAGTCGTAGTAGTAGTAGTAGTAACAGTAGAAGCAGCGACTGTAGTGGCGCGGAAGCTTTGAAAAGACTTGGCGCTGGCCTTGGCAAGGCAAGTTCATTGCGCGGGTATGATTCGGGTATGATTCGCGGGTATGATTTGGCTAGGTGCAAAACGGCACTGATTACAAACTCGTAGTAGCTGTGGTAGTAGTAGTAGTAGTAGTAGCAGTGGTAGTGGAAGTAGTAGTAGTAGTAGTAGTAGCAGTTGCAGAAGTAGTGGTAGCAGCTGTAGCATAAGCAGCAGCGGCTGTAGTGGTGCGGACGCTGTGAAAAAGACTTAGCACTAGCCTTGGCAGGGGAAGCTCACTGTCCGGGTATGATTCGGGTATGATTCGCGGGTATGATTCGGCTAGGTGCAAAACGGCACTGACTACAGACTCAGAATGATGTATGTGGCAGTAGTGAGTAGTAGCAGCAGCAGCAGAAGCAGGAATAGTAGTAGTAGTAGAAGTAGTAGTAGTAGTAGTAGTAGTAGTAGTAGTAGTAGTAGTAGTAGTAGTAGTAGTAGTAGTAGTCAAGGTTGTAGTCGTAGTAGTAGTAGTAGTAGTAATACAGGTAGTAGTCGTAGTCGTAGTAGTAGTAGTAGTACTAGTAGTAGTAGTAGTAGTAGTAGTAGTAGTAGTAGTCAAGGTTGTAGTCGTAGTAGTTAGTAGTAAGGGTAACAGAAGCACAAGTAGAAGCAGTAGAGTAGTAGTAGCAGCGGTAGTAGCGGTGGTAGTGGTAGTAATACTCGTAGTCGCGGTAGTAGCAGTAGTAGGTAGTAGTGGTAGTAGCAGTAGTGGTAGTAATTGGAGTAGTAGTAGTAGTAGTAGTGGTAGTAGTACTAGTAGTAGTAGTAGTAGTAGTAGTAGTAGTAGTAGTAGTAGTAGTAGTAGTAGTAGTGGCAGGCAGTGGTAGTGGTAGTATTGGGTAGCGCTGGTGGTGGTTGTTGTGGAGACAGTGAACAGCACAAAACGGTAGAAGAACAGTAGCATCTTGCAGCATACGTTTTGAGGGGTATGATTCGGGGGTATGATTCGGGGTATGATTCGGGGGTATGATTCGGGGGTATGATTCGGGGGTATGATTCGGGGAGGTCCCACCTTCTGCCTTTTGAAGCAACTCAACACACCAAAAAAGGACAAACCCATACATATATATATATATATATGTATATATTGGGGATCCCGCGCCAGGCGGATATCATCCACGTTCCCTTCTGGGCTTGGAGGAGGAAACCAACGATTTCTTTCTGGAGAAAATCGGGTTTAAAGCAAAACCCCTCCCCCTCCCCTCCCTACCCCCATCGTCCATGATGGTCTCATTCAGTTGGTGCTGCATTCGTCTCGACTTGGGCACAGACCCAGAAGCTCCACAAGTCCTGCCGAAAATTCGATGCTTCTGGGGAATTCAGTGAGTCACTCAGGCAAAGGACCTGACTGTCTTCTTCGGTCTCCACGGCCCGAATCAAAGGTGGGGACATGACCACCTTTCTTTCAGTGACCCCATTTTTCAAGGGTCATGGACTGCGGGCGATTGCTCGCAATTTCTTGCTCCGAACGGTGGAAAAGCCACACTCGCACAAAGGGAAGGGCCCCATTTTTCTTAAGCTGATCCCGAAAAAATCAAGAAAGGCAGCCGTTTGAGGCGCTTGGGCAGCTCAGCCTCGCAAGTCAGTTTGTTCTGTTGATTTCGAGTTGCGTGGAAAGTCAGCGGCAGCCACAAGGCCTTTTGAAATGCAGCGGCTGAGGGGGCAGCCACTAGCCGCCCAGCAACTTGGAGTGGCCGCGAATCGATTTCTACCGTCTCTGCGCGTGCAATATGTAAGGTCTTGATGAGGGCTGGCCTTGGGTTTCGTTTGGCCTGGGCAAAGGGCTGATATCTAGGCTGCTGTTGGGTGGGTTTCGTGTTGCCTTTGGGTGGCAGGCAAGCAAGCAAAGCAAGCAAAGCAAAGCAAAGCAAAGCAAAGCAAAGCAAAGCAAAGCAAGCAAGAAAGAAACCAACAAGGCGGACCAGTCCTAGTTGAAAAGAAACAGTCCCAGTGTTTTGTCTTTGTTGAAAAAAACACAACCAGTTGAAAGCACCCATCAAACTATTTAATTCAATTGTGAGGCCTCAAATGACCTCATGTTTCCAATTCGGGTTGTCTCTATTGGGAAAGCAACAACAAGGCGCATGGTGTTCCCTTTTGCTTTCGTTGAGGGAAGCTAAAGCCTGTCACAAGAAAGCTTGGCGGGTCAGGCAGGTTTCCTGGCGGGGCTTCTGCACAAAGCGGTAGCCAAATCCAGTCCAAAGACTCGAGGGAAAACCACGGAAACGGTTCAAATGTCCTCTTGTGGTTTGGTCATTTGTTCGATCCCCCCGGGGTCATGGACAAAAAACCGGACACCGGCTTTGGGGATGACTCTAAACGGGCTTTCCGATCCAAAACAACTTCTTGAAAAAGAAAAGGGCACTGGGTGTCTGGGTCCAAAGTGGCATGACCCTTACTCTCTGAATGGTGGCTTGAAAGGCTTCCAACCATAGGTGACCTTTTGGAGAAACACATGATGGCCCTGGTACAATGGAAGTAAACCGATCTAGATCAGTGCCATCTATTTCGAACCAAGCTACCCTAAAAAGGACACCTATGCTTCCAACCCCAAGAATCATTTTGAGAACAGGCAGTTCCAAATGAAGGTGGCTACTCGAATTGAGTCCACCATTTCCCGCAGTTCCTGCAGTTAGCAAATGGGGCTCCAGTTGTCACATGATTTTATTTTTAAGGATCACTTGACATGAGCAGAGCCTTTTGGGGGTTCCACAAATTTGACACATACCCACAAAACAAAGCCACCCTGCAGATGCTCCTACCACATCTTTGTTGGCTTTGCTTTTAGGATCATTTTGATGGATTCCGACCCAGCACATGGAGAAATGGAGAGGTCTAAATATATCTTCATGCCCCTTCAAACATGGGCCATGACCCCTTTCTTTTGGGCCTGACCCCAATTTGAAGGGTCATGGAGAGAGACATTGCTTGAGGCCTTTGGAAAAAATGAACCAACATGAAAACGCCAGAGCTATTCTTAAGCACGGTCTGCGGATTTCCACAAATCTGGAGTTACAATTCACTGGTGGTTTCCCTCCTCCGTTGCCACGAAATGGAGGCTCCAACAAGGGAAGTGGAAGAAAATGAACCACCATGGGCAAGTAAGACATATCAAGCAAACAAGGGTCACTTCCTCAAATCAAACGTTGGTGTCCGTTGCCGCGACATGGACATATGGTTCCAAAAAGGGACATTGGAAAGCTGCGAAGATCTGAATGGAAGTCCGGCCTGGGGGTCCAGTGGCATGAGGTCCACAGTCTTCAGCTGACAGCTGAGCCGCGTGAGCTGCTGCCTTCCCAATCGAATCGGACCCGACTCGGACCGAATCCACCGGGTCCCAGAAATGCCCAGGGCAGTGGGACCTGGCGCGGTTGGGACCTGAGGGTTCACCCGGCCGCGGGCTCGGATATCTCATCGCTTGTAACCTCTAGAGCTCGGTCTGTGGTTGAACACCAACGTAAGATGATCGGAATCTGATCCACATATTTAGTCACCCTGAAATCCATGGCAAAGGAGAACAATCAATCTGTGCACCTGTTGTAGGTTCGCACGCAGATGGTTTCCGCGCGAGGGTTCCTTGCGCCCTCATCAGGGGGTTGAAGTCAGCTTTGCTAGGGCTCCATCCATGCCCACCCGTAGTCGGCACTAGCTTCTTAGTGCGAAGAGAGGGCAGCTCTTGCCGCACTCCGCGTGGTTTCCATGGACAAACGCTTCCTTGATCTGCTCGGGAGCAAAGCAAGCTTAAGGCGACGCCGACCAGGAAGAGTTGGATGATGCGATTGCATCTTTCCACGGTTCTCCTGAAGCCCCAGCTCGGATTGCAGCAGGCAGGGTCGTCGGCTCGTGGGGAGTCAGGCTGCGGTCGTCAGTGTACGGAGCCTGTGTGTGATTCTGCGGCGCGTTGGCTTGAAATGAGCAGAATCAGATGCGCAGCAAAGCAAAGGAACGTGCCAAGAACAGAGAAGCCGAGAAGCCACGAGATTGTGTCCAAATGTGGTTTCACCCCCAACACGAATGGTTCTCCTTTCATTTCCCTTAGAAAGCCTTTCCCAATAGGTGTGCCCTCCAGTAAAAGCAAGAGCATATCCAACAGCCTCGGAACCTTCCCGAAAACTGCCTGGAATCCTCCAGAAGCTACCCCAGTTTTGCCAGAAAACCTGGATTGGTTGATTGACCCCATAGCTGCCGCGCTTGGGAAAAAGAGGTGCCCGCATTTGAGCCTGTATGTCAGCAAACAGTAGCTTTTGAACATGGTGGCTTCCAATCACGCCACGACAACCCCAAGTGATTCAGCAAAAAGCGCTATTAAATAGAATGACTACAAGTGGTATGCAACCTCCATACCTCCAAGTCCAAACCTGATTCAATTTTCTGCTTAAAAAAAAGGAACCTTCCAAAAAGAAGCCGCTGAAGGAGCCCCCACACGGGCGACTGACTCTGGGCCCCAGGCACTTCCTCTGGTCCACAGCCCTGCGAGCCTGGACCGCAGATGGAAGCGAAGCCAAAAAGCCCCCGGGGGTCCCAATTTTTGGGGGTGGGTGGTGAGGGAAAATTCCGAATCCACTGGGAAACCGCCATTTCATGGCCCAACATGCAGGAAATGTTCATGGCCATTTCATTTCGGCCCAATGTCCGAATCAGTGCCAGTTCACAGGGAATTGGAAGCATTGTCGAGTGAGTGACCGTTTTTGGGGCCAAGCACCAAGGGCCATCGCCCCATGGGACGCCCCGAGTCTTGGCTCAGTATAGGGTGCAACGAGACCAGGTTGACTTCAAACAACGCGAACCCAGTCGGAAGCCTCATTCCCCAATGATGCTTTTGACTTTAGCCCGAAGTGGTGGTTTGTTTTTTTTGCTGATTTGGGGCTCTAAACCAACACGTCCTCTAAAAACCAAAGGGGAAGGCAACCGACTAACCTTCCAACGGCCAACCACCAGCATGGGGGTCAGGCAACCTGTGGTGAGTGGGCTTGCCCAACGCCATCCTCTATCCCACAGTACGGGAGGGCAAATGTTGACCATTGCGCATATGGCGACCTCGGGGGTGAGTTCTTGGGGTCTCTTGAACATCCGGGGGTCACCTTTCCAAAACACCCACATCTTGGCCATGGTTTAACTAAATCTGTTCTAGTTCCGTCATCAAGCTAAAAAATGAAGCCTTTCCAACCCTTGGCACGGTAGCCCCCACTAAACATGAACAGAGCCGACAAAAAAAAAGGAACACAAACACTGACACACACACACACACAAGAAAAAAAAGGTGCAACAACCGATTCACATGCCAACAAGAGCGAAGGTAAGCCACCCAGCGTTGACCGATCGGCATGCTGGTTGCCTCGGCTTGAGGCCCGCACCCACCGCAAGCCGTAGGAGCTTAGCCGACCTGGGGGAGCCGGGAGCGGGCTCAGCCCACGGGCCGGGGGCTTCGAAGCGCCAAGCGCCGTGCTTCGAGGGGCTACACGCTGCATGGCCCGGGGTACCCAGTGCTCATCTTGAGACTGAACGCTTTGATGTCGCTGCCCGGATCAGCTCTGAAGGGTTCTGGCGGGTAGAAGGTCCCGGCCCTTTGGGGGATGCCTGCGGGAGATTCCCTTTGCTTGCTGGTTCGATAGGGAATCACCCTGATTAGCGCCCAACTTGGGGGTTCCCAAGTTACGGTCCCGAAACAATCATTCCCAAACACTCCTACTGCATCTATTAGCTTTGTAAGCGGTTGTAAACCTCATGCCAGATTCATATATGCAACATATTGTAAATTTCAAACCGGGGGGAGGGCCTCCAAAAAATGGTTCATCTGTTTCTGGCTGAGAGAACAAACTAAACAACCTGGAAGGTAAATCGGTAGAGTCTGGCAATGTTTGGACCATGCTCGGGCGATGCCAGTAGGTCGCTTGATTGGTGAGTGAGACGCCGCGCACGTCGTTGCCGCCATCGAAGATGTATAGCATAGATCCAAAACTGCCGTGTGGCTTTGCACTCGTGGGAGCCGTCGCACGTATCAGCAATGGCCCAAGCTTAGGCCGCCTCTGCGGGGGAGAGCCAGGCTTGCTGTGCATGGCTTGAGAGATACCGCTTGCGCGTGTACAACACGTGCCACCAGCCCCTCCGGTGAGCCTAAATTTTTAAGCAGGACATCAATTGCTGGTTCGGCCTCAGCCAGCCGATCTGATCGAAACAAAGAAGACAAGTCTGCTTTCAGGGGCAACACCCTGAAATCCCCCGGTTCGGCGAAACCACGAGATGTCAAACCATTTTGGAAGCCTGAATCCAGGCGCCCGGGCAGCGAGAGGGGGTCCTGTCTCGCACGGCTCTGGCCATATGCAGGGTTTAAGACAAGCATCCTTAAAAATAAGGAGACTCCCACTTCCACTTCCTTAAGCCCCCTGGATTTTTTTCCCAGTGGTGATAGGTTCCCTTTAAAGCCAACAAGGGAAAATAACTCCGATTCTGAAGCAAATGGAAGGTTGAGGAAAACATACATCGAGCCTCCGGGTTCTCTTCGGGAACGTGATCAAGCAGAGGCCCCTGCGCAGGTTCTGCGTGTTTTGGAGAGGATACATCCAAAAACCGCCTGATCTAACAGGGGATCCTCTACATTGGTTGGCGAAGGTGATTTTGGATCTGGCCCCTTACAGTGTATGTGCCATGGTTGAACAACTGATTGACGGGTTATGGCCATGGTTCCATCAAAATAAGTCTTTGCCATGGTTGTCGAGATTCCTTTGGGGCTCATGACCATCCCTGCCAACCCGGAGTACGATGGGTGCTTTGACCATGGGACATAGCCCAGGCTTCACAATGCCCAAGGTTTGGCCCGGTTGGAACAGGCAGATCACTCACAGCTTTGGCTAGTTGTCTACAAGAGGACAGTACTCCTCCGTAGATGTTGTAAACACAAGGCGACTGTGTGCCGCAAACAGGTAGGGACACCTCTCCGGATCGGCCCCACTTGCAGTTCCACAACCAAGCTTCTCCTGACTGGATGCGGAGCAATTCGCGAGCAAACCATTGTCGTCTCTCGAGTTTGGCAGCCAACACAGGCACACCAGCTCCAACCCGCCTTTTTGCTCTGGTGTTTAGGGAGAAATTTCCTTTGAGCGTTGGGATGACCTGTTTCATGATTGGAACTGCTCCCCTTCCCAAGCCGACCTTCCAGCACCCGACTTAAGACGTTAAACCAACTTAGCAAGTAGGATATGAGGTTATAACCATGCAGATGTCTGGCGCAACTGGGGTTGGACCTGCTACCATGGTAGCTCAACCACCCAAGGAGCCAAGGAGGTGAGCCAAAACCGATTCTCGCTCCTTGGAAGAGTCCATGCAGAGCTCGAAGTCGTTGCACACCAGACGGTTCAGCGGCCAGCGTCTCAGCCTGTCGGAACCAGAGAACCCTTCGATCCAACGGGCGGCGCCTCAGCGAGTCGAGTCGAGCTCACAGCTCTACCTGGAGTCGCCATGACCTTCTTCCATCATGGAGGCTCCAGGTACGTGAATCATAGGTTGAGATTCGGCTTTTAGTCTAATTACCCTGTCCGCAACTGAAATAAGTCCAGCTTGCCTTTCGGAAACTCTGGAAAAGGCAAACCAAAGGAAACCCGGCACACGGGTATGGAATGCTTTGGGACCAAAAGGAGCAAATGAAGCCCCTGGTGTCACCCATCCAAACTCCACTTGGCCAAACGGATCCGACCCACTGGAAAAAAATGACGCTTTTTTGTGGAGGGAGAGACTACAACAAGGGAACCTCCCATCTGAGTCTCAAAATTGGGGCACCCCCCAACATGTGTGGTTTCTTGTTGGTTTCCTTCAAAGCAACCTGAACAGGGCATTCTAGAAAAACAAACACGCAAACAGAGACACACACACACAGACACAGACACAGACGCACACGAAAACAAACAAACAAACAAACAAACAAACAAACAAACAAACAAACAAAAAAAACAACACAAACATCAAATAAACAAACAAACAAACAAACAAACAAACAAACAAACAAACAAACAAACAAACAAACAAACAAACAAACAAACAAACACACAAACAAACAAACAAACAAACAAACAAAGAAAGAAAGAAACAACCAAAGAAACAAACAAAACAAATAAACAAACAAGCAAACAAGCAAAAACATCACACAACCGAACACACAAAAAAAACAACCACACAAACAACACACAAACAACCAACACACACACACAAACAAACAAACAAACAAACATCTCGTGGAGGCTCGCATTGCTACGCCTGTCTTTCCACGGGCTCGGCATTGACGTGGACGGGCTGGGGCTGCTCTGCCTTCGCTTTCAGATTTCGTGCGGTCAACGTGCGACCCAACGCCTTTACCCTGTCCATTGATATAGAGCCTGACCGAGGGGAAATTAGAAGACGGGTTTCCTTTAGAAGGTACCCTCTGGTGGGTTCCGTGTCAACGGACAAGAGGGCAAATATATGCAAATATGTTCTTTGCTCATCCTAGTCCACCAAGATGCGGTTCCCAAATGTTGACCTAGAAATGGACCGTTTTTGCTCGAGCTCAGGTGACAGCTTATAGGGGTTGACAGGCGATGCAGTATTGAAGCCGAAGCCGCGTGAAAGGTCCGGTAAAAACAAATTGATGCAGATGTACTCCCGCACTCCCCCACAATAATTTTGGAACCATTCCAAAAGTGATGCTGGTGGACAAAATCCAATTCGCACCAGTTAGGATGGAACAAAATAACAGTCTGTGGGACAATAAAATCTCCTACTCGTGCCGACCAGGGACTTTTCAGCCACCGGTCAGCCATGGGAGACAGGGGTCACGGGGCCCTTCCTTTTGGAACCTGTGGTCTCATGTTGGCCTGCCGGTTTTAGGTCCTAAAACACTCCACATTTCAGACAGCCTCCCCGGTGGCACGTATCAAAGCCACGCATCTCACAATAGAGTCGTCCGCAAACCCTGGCTATTGCAGGTTGGCGAATCGTTTTTCAAGGGGAGGCCATTGGCAAGGGGAAAGAGCGCGCCACTGAATAACTGTAAGGAATGGCAGTGAAGGCTGCCGTTTGGCAGCTAGGATCGTCTTAGTTGCTGGCTTGCTGACTAAGGCCTTCACAAAAGCTAACATATGTAACATCAGACACAGTCTATATTTATAGCGTTCTGAACGCTTCACTGACATGGGGATTGAGAAAGCAAACTCCATTTCCCAATGATATGTTGGTGAGTGTAGCTCATATTTATTTGGATTGTTAAACATGGGGCCTCCCAATGCTAACATACGGATGAGGACTGAATTCGAAGGACCCAGTTTGTATCTCCCAACAAAAAAATGCTGGAAGCTAATGAAAGAACATCGGCAAGCAAGATGAAAAACCCAAACATTCAATGGTCCTTGAGCAGGAATCAGCATTTGAGCGCGCCCCGAGGTCGTTGGTAATCAGGGGTGGTTTATGTCCCCACAAGCAAAGCCCCTGGGTCTAGGTCTGCTTGGGGCCTAAGTTGCACACTGGATTTCTATGGTCAAAAAGGTGAGCCCGTTTTTTGGTCTGTTTTGAAGGGAGTTTCCTCCCGGCAAAAGGGACAAATTGAAGGGCACCACTAAAGCTGATACACAGGGGTGGTTGATTTCCAATGCAGTCTTTTGAGGGGAAAGATGGGAGGAGACAAAAAATAAATTCCGTATTTCACCCTAATATACTTCTACTATTAATGCGTGTCTGGGTGTGCCATTTTACTGATTTTACTTGTTTACACAATTGCGTTGCGAATTGTTGATACATTCCTGGATGTTATTTGTCATAGCCAAACATGCTTTGCGGCTTTTGCCTTGCGGCTTGCTCAAAAAACGGGACGCCCAACCGCTGAGGGCGCAGGCAACTTCAGCGACGCAGCCCACTTGTCCGCTTCTTCCGCTGACCTGGCGGCTGTTCGGGGCCTTCGGACCCCATGTCGTGATGGGGTGAAGGAAAAAGACCTAGAGAAGAGGTCACACCCCGAAGAAAACAGGATCAATCAAGTCTAACACTCTGAGATTAGAAGGTCAAACAGGTTGTAGGGAAGGTGAGGGGCATTCCCCCAATCATTCCCTCACCCAAGCGCTCTTTTTCCGAACGAGGTCTAAACACATGGGTCTTTTGGGTTTCCATTTTGAGAGGGTTTGGAACTATATGGGCATTTGGGATGGGTGTTTTGCCCACCAAATTTCCAGGACTTTCCCTATTTAAATTCATGGCCACGTTGTCACATCACCAGGCCACCAGTTGCCTTCAGAAAATAAGGGGCCCTCCTGCTTTTGGGTAGTGCAGTTGATTCCACAAAACGAGGAAATAAACAAGCAACCCACTGGGGGGTCTGGGATTATTTACTCGAACCAGTGAGTCCAGGGTTCTCTATAGTTCTTCAAACATCACCCCACCAAAAGGAAGCTCACTTAAAATTGGCAACCAAAAGATGATGCTTCAACCAACCCAAAGGGAAAATATGACTGTGGCTCAAACAAATGGTCTCCAAATTCACACCTCAATAAATGGAAACAAAGACTAACACCTGCATAACCCTAGCCACACCCATAGGAAACCCATAGGACCCAACCCATTTTGAGCCACACCAGGAACCCAACCAGTTCGGACTCTTTGCGTCGCTGCGAAGCCGCTCCTCATGACGAAGAGGAACTGCCGCTGAGGCGTGGTGACGGCCACAGCAGGAGCTCCGGCAATGGAGGTCCTTCCGGGGGCGTGGGTCTGGCGATTAAGGTAGCCTTTGCTTGGGGGCTTTAAAGGGAAGCCACGTGTTGGGGTTCCTGTCATGGAATCTGGACAAACCCAGAACCTGTGAGCCGTGCAGTGCTTGCACCTCGGGGTTCCGATTTTGAAACGAAGCCATTTGCATAAGTCCCACCTTTTGAGCAAATAAAAGGAACCCTGCAATGGGATACACTCCAAAGATTTGTAGGGCTCTTGAACCAAATGTATCCAAACATGGGTCATGGTCATGGTTCCCAGTGGAAGGGTCCATGACCATTCCGAACACCAAGGAAAAGGGTGGTTTGCCCAGCCAACCATCACGTGTGGGGGAATCTGCTTCGTCATATACGCATTTAGAGCCACAGCCGAACAGTGACTATGACTAGCAGGGGCCAGTAAGCCTCCCCTTGCTACTTGAACTGTCTCACATTGTGGAGGGCCTCGTTTTTTGGGTTCTTTCCTTTAATTTGCAGGGAGTACGGGTCTTCATTTCCAGTCAGGCGAAGGCGTGATTACATGTGTGCATCATGGCCTTGTGGACGGCCTTTACATTCGGGTTTGGTGTTTGGTGGTGATTGGTTCACTCGTTTGATCACAAAAACCAGCTAGATGATAAACTACATCAAATGCGCAAAACAAGCAACAACCAAGGAGTTGGCTTCTGTCCAGCAGATCTTCCTGTACTAGTTACTAGTATGTACATGTAGCTTCCTCGGCTCTTCCTTGATTGAAAAACACAGCATGTAAAACGACATATCCCTTTCAGGCATTGAACTCGCCTTTGTGGGTTCCTTCCGTCAATTCTGCAGGCGCCCGTAACAACGGAAATTCAACTAATCCGCGAGGAATGGACGAACCTGACTCGGCTTGGATCTTCGGTCCTGTAAGCCTTGGCGCGGCTCAGTTCTACGAAGAAGTCCTCCGAGAAGTAACTCTGCGGCCTCGCGGGCGTCTCGGCTTCGCGGTTTCACGAGATCAAGAGTTGCAGTGGCTTGGCTAACTGTCCGGCTCTAGCCTTCTTAAGCTTCAACACCCGAAGTGGGAGAAGTGCTTCGATCCGCCCTGGAGACCCAGAACGGCCGGCTCGCTTTCTGGCCTTCCCGGGTGGGCCCACACATTATGCCACACATTCGGACAAAGTGACCCATATCGTTGTTTCGGTTGTTTGGGGCCTCCGAGCACGGACCGTTACAGACCCAAGAGCCGTTCAGAGGGACCATAAATATGGCAGGTTCCAACTAGGCATGATATGTGTTTGGATTTTCGTCCATATTGGGTAAACCGGGCGAACCTTGCAATATTTAAGGAATGATGTCCCATATCGGGTGAACCTCACAATATAAAGCAGACTTGGGTCAGGAGGGACGTACTGGGATGCGGGATGGGGGCCCCGTGCTCAATTGGTTGCAACCGCAACTGACCCGTGTCCAGCTTGAAAGCAAAATGACGGCCTGTGCCAGACACAAGCTACGAAAACACTGGGAACTAATTTGCTTCGACCCAAGGAATTTGCTTGTCCGGCATGCAGCTGGCTGATGCGACGGCAAAGAAACTCAGTCAAGCCAAAGCCGAACCGAGGCACGGTGACGCCTAATGAATAGCAGCCTTAGCTGTCGCAAGAGGGACCAGGCAAGCTCTTGCAGGGACACGTCATCTGCAGCCCCAAGATCCAACTACTACATGGGAAGGTAACAGCTGAACATCAGCTGAACGTGGGTCAAAGGTTGCCAAAGGAGCTCAACCCTTCCTCGTCCTTCAGCTCAGCTTCAACGACTGCACGCTTGGCTTGTGCTCTGCAGAGGCGCAACTACAGTACGTGCTCCTGGCGTCTGGGCCTGTCATCAATCAAAAAGCCAAGACGCCACGTTTTTGCGTGCTGCGACAAAGCCGTCCAACAACCCAACCAAAAGCTCCCAAAAAGGAGACATTTCTTGTCGGCAAATTTGCTTGGATCGCTTGCGCACCCGCGTCAGCGGCCCTCAACGAATCTGCCGGGTTCATTGCTTGCTGTGGCTTCGGCCTACGCCTCAGTCTTCAATTCAGCACGACTGGTCGGGGCAATTGGGCCAACCAAGGTCACTGCAGCGCTTCACACATACGTGTCTTGCCCGCTCAGGAGTGACTAACAGCGCGTTCCTGGCCCGGCTACTGGTGGGCCTTGAGCTTCGGACCTCGGCCGTCCTGCCTGGCGGGAGCCTCAGGCTTCCCACTGTCGCAGCTGGCCGTGTGCACATGCTGGCACATGATAAGCACACCTGCGCATAGCTGGCACATGATCAGCACACCCGCTCCAGTGTATCCGCTCTCGCGGAAGCCTCAAACTTTGGGCTGTCGCGGATGCAGCGGGAGCTTTTGGCTTCAGACTGTCGCAGCTGTTCGTCACAAGCTCGGTAACAGCTGTCTGTCAGTCACATCTGCCTGTCAGGCTCTGTTGCAGCTGTCTGTCACAGGCTCTGTCGGCGGGCGGGCTGGTTGTGGCGGTCGGATTTCACTTACAATCTACCAGCCCCAAACTTGTCAGGAACATCATCAACATCATCAAACAAGAAACGAAAACAACAGGATACTTTCTCTTTTCGTTGTTGTTTTGGTTGTCAAGGCCAACCACATCTGCCGGCGTTGGTGCCCTTCAGGATTTTAGACGTAACCGCATACGGGTTCCTAAAGGATTGATGACCCTGGCCCACGTTTGGTGAGGTTTGTTCATGACCATGTGGTTAAAACCAGTAGTAAGCCTAGCAGGGTGTCAAGGCACATGGTCCAAACACCAAGGAGATGCCGCACTCACCCGGACGACAAAGGGGGTGCCACTCCCCGAACCTGCTCCGGATCAAGCAGAAGTTAGCCAGAGTTCGCATTGTGGGTCTTTATGGTGGTTCCCTCAATCTTTGCAGGGATTCTCTAAACAATCTTCGTGAAAAAGTACTTGTATCTGAGTGGTTCATAGGCACAGTTTCAACGATGTACGAGTATTCAGTTTGACATCAGAAGACTTCGGACACCGAAGAAGTGTGTGTGTGTGTGTCTCCCCAAATGTGGGAACTCGCCAAAGCTGATTGCCTTCTGCTTGGTTCAAACAAACCTAAAAGGAAATCGCAAGCTGTAGGCTTCCTTTTGAAACCATCAGAAAGGATTGTCGGGTTCCGCACAGGCTAAGAGTCAACATTTGCTGTCGTCTACGTCAGTGCGGGGAGAATCTGGGTCACACTAAAACCAACATATGATGAGGAAAATGGGGCGGGGGGCTACTCACCCACAGCCCATGTCAGTTCGGGGGCGCCTGCATATTGGGCTAGCTTCAACTCACCGATCGAGTGGATTGCTTAGACAAAGTAACCCGACTTGTTGTTTACCGCATTAATCATAGATAAATTCGTATGCCCCTGATATTTCCCACAAAATGTATATACCACAGTCTCCAAAAGTCTGTTCTTGTGTCTTTCATTGCAAAAGCCTTTGTTGGTTGGATTGAAATGGAAACCCAAATGGAACTCCCCTTTTGCTTTTTGGGGGGGGCTTCCCCTGACACAAAGACACACGCAAAAACGGATCGATCCGACTGGTCGGCGGGTCGACTCCGCCTATCCATCCAGGAGCGGCTGGCGGTGTCGCTCTTCCAGCGCACCGCCTCCCGTTGGATCGATCACCGTCTCAAAAGCAGGGAACCCGCAAAATGATCTTGGGTGTCTCTTTTGGCTTCCCTGTAGGACCATCCAGAAAGGACACCCTCGAGGAAAAAACAACTCAGGAAGGTAGCCCAAAAAGTCTCGGCATTGCTGGGTGGTTGGCTACCTTCATGTAGGATGTCCTGAAGCTGGGTTCTATGCACAAACGAGACAAAAGGCCTGGCAGGCGAGATCCATTCAAAACCAAGAATCTGGGCCCGGGCGGCAAGCTATTGGGCATGAGGAGTGGTGCCCATAAAAGGAGCGAATCGGCTGGAGGAAACTGGACCAGTTGAGGGTTGCCCTCGCTACTGCAATCCTCCCTCACCCGGTCCGAGCCGATGGTGTAGAAGAGCCCGTTTTCCCAGAGCTTGTAATTTGCCACCAGTTGGATGTTCGCCCGGCGACTCCATGTTCAGCTCCCATTCTTCGACCGGGTCCCGGGACATGGAATCGCCTGGGGAGCAAGCGGGACTAGGACGTAGAAGTTGATCCAGTTTGCACATCCCACCGAGAAGACCTTGCAACAAGAAGTAATCACCTTCCACTCAAACTGGACCGGACCGGGGATTTGCCAAGAGGCAAGGCGTCCCGCCATGAAGTGCCATGCCCACATAACTTACATTGAGGTCAGCACCAATGAACAGCCCAGCTTGTTCAAGTTTACTTGTGATGGCCTGGTTGATTCCAGTAGTGGATCATTCAGACTCGGAGCCCACCCTAGCCGTCCTTTTGTTGGGAACCCCAGACAACTTGGACCCGCAAAGGAACCTCTTCTTTTTTTGTGGTCGATGTGTGTTTTGTTTTGGGATTAGTTTTTGCTTTTCGTCTTGGATAATAAAAATAATGGCCCTGCTTTGTTTGTCTTGTCTTTGACCTGCAAAACAATTGCCTCACAAACCGACCCCTGCTTCCGATCCGCTCCGATCTCCGACTGGGCTGCCCAAGCCAAGGGTGCTTCTTCTGCGGCGAAGTTGTCCAGCATCTGGGAACCTGTCGAGCGTCGCTTCAAGTAAAGGCCCCCCCCCCAAAAAAAAAAAACAACAACGGCTGATTTCCTGTGGTTGGGGAGGGGTCCTACAAAATTGGTTGCGGATAGGGGCAAGGTGCAACAATTTGGGTTGGGAATGTGCGGGCAAAATATCGGGGCCAAGCAAAACCTGGTCGATTTTCCTTCAATCAAATGGGCCAGTGAAAATCCTGGTCGATTTCCTGCCATGTTCTGTTGGTTAGGGATGGGTATAAAAAACAAGAGTCAGCTCTAGGTGTCCAAACCAAAAGGACGACGGGATTCTCATCACAGGGCCGAGTGGTTCCTTTTTCAATTTCAGGAATCCGCCTCCTCCACAAAAAGGCTGGAAGAACGTGGGGGCCAAGAGAGAGTTGGTCGAAACCGCTCTGCTTTTTGATGAGTCGACACCTTGAACCCCTGTTGCGGTTTGGAATGCTTTTGCAATCCCGTCATGCTGGGAAAAAGTAATCCTCGGCCACTTGTGCGTGTTGCTCTTCCAGTTACCACTAAGGCAGCCAGGGTTTCTTACCTATAGGTTTTACATGATGGTTTCTCCTGGTTCTGTACTGTGTTATATATAATAATGGTAATTAAACTGGAAGCAATGGGATGGTTACCCTCCGACTGGGAAAAAATATACCTCTCCTTTTAAAGGGATCCCTGTGCAGCTTCTATGTTTTTCCTGGCGCTACCGACAGCTCTACCATCCCAACTCATCCCACCGATCCCATCGCCTCGGCGCGCGGCGTCGGCGGCGGAGCGCAGCACCGAGCTCTTGGACACCACCTGGCTGCGGCTCAAACCGGTACCAAAATGGGTTGCCCTGGTAAGTGGCAACATGGACCACACCCTGCGGTTTGCCCCTCCTGTTTGATTTTGAGCCACACCCACCTCCGCCCCAGCGCGCAGCACCGCGTCCGTGGTCCGCGCCTGGCGGAAAACCGGCCGTGCGTCTGAGTCAGACGCCGACTGAGGCCGGAGGCGGCCACATGGAGTCGTTTTTGTTTTGGGGTACTGGTGCCGTCTTTCTTAAGGGTCATGGAGACTTGCTGTGTGTGTGGGAATACGAATCCAGACGCCTACAAGTTGAGTTTGGCGCTTTGGGGTATGTACCCAAACCTGCAAAAAGGAGGCAGACTTGCCTTCAGCTTCTGGCAAGGCCTTTTCTGACCCCAACTGGCTTTACAACTGCCCGAAAAGGGCATGCTGGCCACACAAAACAAGGGAATTCTAACGGAATTGTGGCGTTCTTTGTTTGAGGGCATCCGTTGTTGGGTTTTTTGGCAAACCAGCAGAAAGCCTCCGGTTGGGCCCCCCTTTTGTTAGACAGACTCGCTTTTTCTTCAGGGCTCAGCCGAACTTCGGTGTCTTGTGGTCAGTGGGAAGCCCTCTCTTTATGGAGTTCTTAAGGGGGGGGGTGTAAGGGGGGGGGTAATTTGAAAGCCCCAAGGCTCCCTAGCACTTCCTGGAGCTCCTTAGCAAGCCCTAGTGCTCCCTCCCCAAGGACCCCTAAAGGCCCCTAAAAGATTCTTAGCCTCCCTTAAGCTCCCCAGCCTTCCAAGATTTAAGGTCGTTGGCCCCAGGGCTTTTCGGAACCCCTCAAAGTGAGTTCCCCAAAGTGAGCCCCAAGTACAGGGTTTACCGAAGTTTTTCGGAACCCCTCCCTAAGCTTCCCTAAGGCTCCCCTTTCCCTAGGCTTCCCTAAGCTTCCCTAAGCTTCCCTAAGCTTCCCTAAGGCTCCCTAGGGCTCCCTAGGGCTCCCTCGTTTGCGTGCGCGTTCGTGTTAGTGTGTGTGTGTGTGACTCTGTGTGTGTTTGTGTTTGTGTGTGCGTTTGAGTGTTTGGCGAAGAGCTTTGGGCGGGCAATCGGCTAAGCCGGATGAGGGCTCAGCCGGATTCAGTATTTGAACCCTAGGCCTCCCTAGGGCTCCCTAGTCCACGCCATTTACTCAAATTTACCCCCCCCCCCCTTACACCCCCCCCCCTTAAGAACTCCATAATCTCTGTGATACCGTTTTGCTGATTGGTCCCAGCCACCAACACACCCAACCCAACGCCGAACCCACCCACCTGAGCGAACCACGCCTCGCTCACAGAGACCTTCCTCTCCACGATGCGGCCCTCGCTCTCAACGACACCCAGCCAGCCTGCCGAAAATCACGGCTTGGCATGGTGCTTCTTGGAGGGTGCCCTGCATTTCCCGTTACAAGGTCACCAGACTTTCGGCTGATCACTCCAATTCCAAGGCAACCAGACTTTCTGTTGATCAATCCAAGGCTAGTTTGAAGTGCAGAAACAGGGGAAGAGATTTGGGACGTAGCTAAGCGGTTTAGTAACCGTGGTTCTAAGTCACTTGCCGACAACCAGGATCAATAAACACTTAGCCAAGTCTCTAAGCACCAAACAAAGCTCACTCCGCATGGGTCCAAATGGTGATGTTTAACACACTCAATTGAGGAACTAGGTAAAACCCACATTTTTTGGGCTGGCTTTAAGAAAGCAATTGAAAACCCCCCCCAAGTTCCTTCTTCGCCCCATGATCATTGGATTCCAACCCCCCCCAAAAGAAAAACAAGTAAGAAAAACAAATGACATGACCCCACGCTACAGGCTGAAAGCCATATTCCGACCTTGTTGAGGCCTTGTTTTGCAAGCAACCGGGGAGGGGGGGTTGAATCCTCCGACTGTTGAGTGGATTTCACTTTTGGGCAACATGTTGTTGGGTTAGCTGCTGCATTTGGCAGGCTCAGGCTTTCTGCAGCACTCAAGTATCAACTTGCACTCCAACAGCAACCAAAGGGGAAGTGGCCGTTGAGTAGTTGGGGTACATGCTCCGTTGCAAGAAATTCCAAAACCCCCCAAGCCCAGTGCTGTCAAATTCATGTTGACTTGGAGGAATTGGACCGGAAAACATGGATGGTCATCCCAATCTTATAACCAGCGATGCCACCAATCCAGGGCTAAAATGACCCTTTTGCCATGATGTAGGTCCTTTGCCTGGGGATCCGATTCTTATTTCAAGTGTTGGCATTCTTAGACTCCACTTTTCCTGAAGTTGGCTGGCAAGCGGCTTGCCCCCGATGAGAGAGGGGACTTCCATTTAATCAAGGGGTCAAAGTGACCTGACTCGGATACAACCAATTCACCTGCCAAACCAAACTCATCCCGTAGGCAGGAACTTACCGTCTTGAGGTCGTGCCATGCCCACACTCAGTTTGCCATGTGTTCCAGGCATCACATCCACCTTTTTGGTGCCAGGGTGGCATATCTGCAAAAGGAAGCTGATTTTGCGAAGGATCATACATCTTTCCACCACATCTTTCCAACCGCAAGGAGTAGTCCTCTAACGGAACCTCCCTCTTCGACCTGCCAAGGCCAGGTGCTTAAACCATCTGTTGGGCTTGCGTAACCCTAACGAACCCACGGTCTTACATGGTCTAACCCCGACCAAAGTAATCTGAGTCATACTCAATCCCTGATACAAAAACCCAAAACCATGTCAAGCATATCACCAAGGCGCATATCCGCACCCACTTATGGCAAGGGGATTGTCCCTCATCCTTTGTCCACCCGGGTTTTCAGGACGTAGCTCTAATGTTGACCCCAGATTAACAAACCCCTGTTCATTAATATGGGGGTGTGCCTGGTTGTGGGGATCTATCACTTGAGGGGAACACCCCCATATGAATACACACCTCCAGAAGTGATAAATCCCCACTACAACCAGGAACACCCCCATATTAATAAACAGGGGTGTATTAATCCGGGGTCAACATTAAGCACCCCGCCCCGACTCGCGCGAGAAAACGCCACCAAACGCCGCCTCCATAGGTGCTCGCTAGGAGGCTCGTCAGCGGCACGTCGATCCGCATGAACCTCCGGCGACTGAGTTTGCGGGAAAGCTCTCGGGTTCCAAACGCTGCCCTCCATTTGCTTAAGCCCCACGAAGAAAAAACACACATATATATATATATACAATCCAACTGATGCTACTGTCCTATGCCCAGAGCACGAAACGCTGTTGTCTTTTTTTTTGACAGCTGTGATTTCGAAATGTGTTGCTGCAGCACTACATCCAGTGCACCTCGCTTAAAAAGGGCGCACTTGACGATGGCAATTTCTGAAGCCATCATCATGCCGAAATGAAGGAGTTCAAATGAAATGCAGCACCGTAACCCTTCAAGGCTAGGGCTGGCAACGGGGGAAAACAGGAAAAGCTTGAGAGTAAATTGCCGTCAATGGTATTAGGGACCTTGGAGGTGGTACAATCCAACTGATGCTACTGTCCTATGCCCAGAGCACGAAACGCTGTTGTCTTTTTTTGACAGCTGTGATTTCGAAATGTGTTGCTGCAGCACTACATCCAGTGCACCTCGCTTAAAAAGGGCGCACTTGACGATGGCAATTTCTGAAGCCATCATCATGCCGAAATGAAGGATTTCAAATGAAATGCAGCACCATAACCCATTCCGATATGCAATCCAGGCTCTGGTAGAAACCGCTACTTCAGTCGGGTATTAATGACCGATACCAGTCTTTGCTTGGCCTTTTCGACTTGGCTCTGCCAGCGCGCACGTACAAACTTCCAAGCTCGTTGCAGAAGGCCATGCTTTTCATACCTGCTGACAGAGCTCTTGGCTGCCCACCTGCCCCACTTGTGAATGCCCGTAGATCTCGTCGACGGTGACAAGCATCGTTGCTAGCACTACTGTGTCGGACTATGTGAGGGAGGACCACCGGAGACGAGTACTCAAGCAGCCCACATGTGTTATGCAAAATCCGCTCATACTGAGCTAAGCTGATGTTCGGAAACAGGCGATGCTCTGTGTGCTTGTGCAAGTAGTTCATCACTTGCGTCATCCATTTCCGTTCTTGCATCTTCGCAGGAAAAAGCACCAATGCCCGACAAGGGTACCGGCGCCCCACAGGTTCCACCACATTGTCCAATGTCAGCCCGATGGCTTCACTAGGTCTAAGGCAACCATCAAAGTGCAGCAGGAGAAGGCACATGAAGTCCAACCTTGACTGAGACAGCTGTACCGCCACATCGAAGATCAGCTCCTCCGGAACTGGCAGCTGCATAGACCCAGGCTTCAACTTCCGCCAACTGGCCAAAGTTTCCTTTGGCATTCGGCAAAGAGAGAGCCTTTGGGATATCACATTGCAGCAGCTGCAGACCATACATAAGATAGGACCCAACGCTAGGCTCAGCACCTTCCCGCTCATGCATGTAGGCCATGTACTTGACAACCATAGCGTCCAGGTTGCCCTTGTTCACTCTCAGCTTCTGCCGCCTTGCCCATGTATGAAACCCCGCTATCTGTCGATGATACTGATCCTGATCCACAGTCTTCTGTGTAACCCTGGAACCTCGCATGCGGACAGAGGCCCGCAAAGGATGATTCTGAAGGTCAACCAGAGGTGGCTTCTTCGGCTTTTGAGGCTTGAGGGTATGCACCTTTGAAGTTCCCACCGCCAAGTCGACGGGCTTCCTCCTTAGTGCTCTGGCCGAAGACAACCCCCTGCTTGATATAGGATCTGGAATCCTCGGCAGCGATGGGCTTGAAGGAGTCGGTGTTCTTGACCCCCTCCGCATCCACATCTTGTCTCCTTCTGTGAGAGGCTTCCCGGAGTTGCCGATCGAACCAGCCATTGTCCTCACCATTTTCTTCAAAGAAGGAGCCCTGCACCAGCGAGACTATCTTGCTGGTCCACGCCTCCACCAAGGCCTTTGAGTAGGCTCCGGCCGTGGTGGTCTTGTTCTCGTAGACCCACTTGTCGCCCCGCTTGACTTTCCAGGCGCCTCGAAGCTGTTCGTGTCGATGCTGTCCATTGCCGCGTCTGGCCAGCGCTAAAAGCTCAGGTCTGTTGGTGAGGATTGCTGTGCTCTTCCTATACGGTGACCCATACATGCAAGCATCAAAAACGACTAGACAACAACGAGGATCTCTGAGGAGCTCGGCAATGGGATGAAACTTCCAGAGCAGGGACCCCCAGGGATTTTCCAGTGTAAACAGAAAAAGCTGCTAGCTGTACCCCCAGAAGCTCCCGACCTCTAGCCCGAGCCACATTCTTGATCGCGTGTCGAGCGCGGCTCCAAACCGTGCACGGTGTGCCCAGGTGCAAAAACCAAATAAGTGACATAGAGACCAGTTGTATAATGAGTTGCTGTGTGGAGACTCGTGAAAGGTCATGATGGGGTCCATGATGCAAATCCAAGGCTGTCAAAATGCGAAGACCTTTACGTTGAAGTGCCGCTGATAAACCCCCTGCTCCAGCAAAGAGTTCCAAACAATGTTTGTGACCAGGTTGAAGGGAAACAGCCGAAACCAAGGGTGTTGAGGGAGTGGATCCTTGCTCGTAGGAGTGCGCAGTGACATGTCTGCCCAAGATCCCACTAGATGCCCAAGTCTCACGCTTTCGCCCAGGATCGAAGGCCCGGGATGGGCCGTCTGCAACATTGTATTGCGTGCGCACATGCCGGATTTGCCATATAAATCTGCATCCAAAAACGTATCCACATGCTTGTCTACAGAGGTTATTCAACAGCATGGATGATGACCGACCCTTCTCATAGCTAAGCACCGTAACCAGGTTATCACCCAAAGAAAACACCATCTTGCCCATATTGGAAACACTGCGTGCCCACCTTCGCAACCCCATCAACAAGACTCGACCCTCCTTGCCATTGATGTGCTCTCTTGCAAACTCCAACCGCCTGACGAAATCAGTGTCCATCGGCTGCTTTCATGCCACACATCACGGACTGGAGGGTGAGAGACCGCCTCCATGAGCGTACTTAGTCTTGACTTTGCGCTCCCAAACAACTGCTGCTTTTTGGCTCGCATCTTTCTGGGCTCTGAAGATTCCATCCGCTGCCGCAATTCACGTCCATAGCCAGTGATAACACCCAGCGAAGGCTGAGCAGAATGGCCGTAGGAATGAAGGTCACTCATCGCCTCCTCATCATCTCCAAGGATGGCAGCGCGTTCGTCCAACCGACCCCAAGAACCGCCACTTCTCTCGAATCCTGACCTCTTGCCAATCTCTGCAGAACTGGCCTTGGTAGACATCCGGGCAAATCCGTAAGTCGAGGAGTCACCCAAATGCACTGTCTCCGATCTAGGAGCTGTAAGCTCATGCTCCACCAGAAAGACCAAGCCCATAATCTGTCGCAGCTCCCGTCGAACGTTAGGCCACATAGGAGCCCGCCGCCCCAGGTGCATAGCTGAAAACTTGTAAACTGCAGATGGGCAAGAAAGCCCCAAGCGGTTCAACTGGAAAAAGAAGTTGGTGTGCCCGAGCCACACTCGAAGCAAATCGCCCGACACCCGCTTCCTCTTTAGGATGGCCTTGGTGGACAAGTATAGCCGCCATGCTCTCGAAGTCTTATTCCTTATGAAGACCCTGGAGCCAAAGTTGAACTGAAGCCCCAGTGACTCCACTTCTGCCTGTCCAGCTGGGTGCGTGATCTCAAAGAGGATGCCAAGTGCTGCAAAGCGCTCCGCAATGCCATTCATCGTGGCATCAACTTGACCAGAGCTGGCCCCAACCACATTGACGTTGTCCACATAGACGCCAACCACTGGGCCAGAACGAACATCCGGGCAAGGAACCTTCTCGCGAAGAAAACGGTCGCCCCATGGCCATGCCACCAAAAGCAAACCAAAGCTGCTCGTGGTCTGAAGGTTGGACAAAGCCCCCCAGCTCATCGTCATAAATTGGACCAACGTTGAAACCCAGCTTCCTGAGGTCAGACACCGATGCCCTATCATCAGTGCAGAAATATGATGCCAAAGGTGCCACCGAGAAATTGTAAAAGCAATCCCCCACGTCACCTGCGGACAAGGCAAATGCCGGAAGCTCCATGACCTCACCAACCCCATCCACGAAGTCGGCAAAATCCAAGTCCATGAAGCCCGAAAGAGTGCTAAGTTGCGTACACGGTGGTCTCTTTTGCTTGGCATTCGCATCACGAGCAGCCACAATCAGTCGCTGCATTCCATCCTTCTTGGCAACTGTGAAGAATGCCACCCTCCCTTTTCGCCGCCGTTTGAAGGTCAAAAGGCTTGAAGAATCCAAAGCCCTGTAAAGCTCAAATCTGCGGCCCCAATCTGATCGCAGACCAGGATCCCAGTAAGGCTCCACTGGGTCAGAACCGTTGACATCCGCCTCCAGCTCGGCAGGGGACTTCTCGATGAAGCACTGGTAGTTCTTCAAGTAGATGCTAACCTCAGGTTGCAGAAGGTCATCCGCAAGCTTGACACCCAAGCGCCGGTGCAAAATCTTGATCTTGCTCAAGTCCGTAGCAACTAAATGAGCAGCCTCCTGTGAATACAGGTTTGCCTTTGCCGTCATCTGCTGAAGGGCCTCGTCAGCATCTAAGTCAGGCGGCCCTCCATGACTTGCAACCCTCCTCCATACATCCTCCATGATCCATTCTTGCACGGAAGTCAGTGGAAGGTGTAAATTAGCTGTCTGAAAAGGAACTGCAGCGAGGTCATTCAACGTCTTGAAGGAATGACCCACCCGCTCTCGCAGCTCTTGCACCGGGCCCCCCCTCCGCTGTGCTGCCCAGGTCAAACGGGGCAAAGGAAAAGGGTCCCCATTATTCGGAGCATCTGATCGGCACCGAAGTCCGAAATCACTCCATGCGTCGGCCATGTTGAAGAGGTCGACGAGGAAAGAGATCCCTGGCCGAGTCAGCCCCTCCGTTGGCAGCGAGGCTACTTGTTCTGGCCGGCTCCATGGGAGCCGGATGCACCATCCTCGCCGCCCTTGCCTTTCCCGCCTTTCTTCTTCTTCTTCTTCTTGTTGGCTTTCTTCCGAGAGTCACCCGGTCCATCATCTTCGGAATCGTCATCAATGAATGTCATCCTTGCCTTTGCCACCACGGGTCTTGCGCTCTTGTCGAAAAAGGCGCTCCTGTTTCCAGATGCTTGCACGCTCTTTCAATCCGGCGGACACCCACTCATTGAACATCGACGGCGAACGCTCCACCGCAAGCTCCGTCTGAATCATCCACCTGCACAGCGTCTCGCCTGCTGCTAAGGAGCTGCAGTCCACCTGATCATAGGAGTGCAATAGCCTGAGCACCTTGCACAAGTTGCGATGCACATGGGCCGAGGAGCTTCGACCTGAAACCCCTGACGACCGCAACCACTCGGCATGGTAGCTGAGGAAGTTGCCAGGGCCAAGGGCCGCACTCTCGTGCAACTCCTTCGAAGATCGGGTTCCGGCAATCGGGAACTCCTTGTCCTCGGCATTGTGCATGAGGGCCACCGCTGCGCTAAGTTCCAACCGCCGCTTGCCAGCATTGTCACGGTGGTCCCCCAACAAACGGAGGTCCCCAAGCTCCTTGCCTTTCTTGCCCCTCCAATCATCCACATCCCGCAGGGAGATCTTCTCAACAAAGAGCTCCTCATTCTCGCAAAGAACCACCCCTTTCAAGGTGAAGCCAACACCTGTCGCTTCCGTAGCCATGAGCTGGGCATCAATCACCTCCCCAAAATTGGGATGGGAAGGATCAGCAACAACCCAGCCCACCGAATCCAGCTCATCAACGGCTCCCTCTCCCAGGATAGCTGCCATGACCTGAGACTGTCGCTTGTAGTTCAGAACCGAAGCCCTGGAAATTGGGTCATGGGCATAAGCCTCGTTCTCGATGTCCTGGGGAAAGGGCATGCATCTGTCCAGAGTTCGGTGAGCCTGAGTGGCCAGGTTATGGCGTTGGAATTCGAGGTCGGGTGTCAACGTCATCCAGTCTCCAGCATCCACTCGGTGAAGCAAGATCCTATGGTGCCATGTCAAACCATTGGGGTCATGCGGATATGACACTAGCACTTGCACTTCCGGAATGTCCAGAGTCAGAGCCATTGAGTTGCCGCTTCAGGTCTGAGGGTCGCTTTGGCCCAGTTCGCGATGCCAGGCCACACTCGTTGGCGACTGGCTTGAATCACTGACCGCTCCAGTCAAAGTCGGCAGTTCCAAGGCTGGTAGCTCAAGTGTCAGCTTTGGGGTCCTAAACTTTGGGAATAGCACCACTATGACCAGACCAACCAAAGCCACAGCCAGCACACGGGCGAACCACCGCCACCAGAAAAGTTCCCAGTCACAGCCTGAACAACTACCTTCCAGCTGTTGAACCAGATACCGAAAGTTGCGCCACCTCCACTCGCAAAAGCTCAGCCTCTGCAACTGCCAGCTGAGATGTCGAGGGACGACGCCAGTCCAACACTGCAATCAGGCTGACGACCCAACCCAGATGGCTCCACCACATCAATCACCAAAAGGAAAACAGGAAAAGCTTGAGAGTAAATTGCGGGCATATCCCAACCGCCTTCAATGGGATTAGGGACCTTGGAGGTGGTATTTGCAGTTTAGATGCCCTTTACAACCAGCAGGGGAAAATTATAACATATTCTTCAGCAAGTGGAAGCTGCCGTTTGGACACTTGGAGATTTGGACATGGGAACAAGCAGCTGGGGATTTGGTGCTTCAGGCGAAGAAACCCCACAATGCCCAGCCAAGAAGATTGGCCCAATTTCAAAACCACAAAATTCCCAGCCAAGCATTAAGCCAACAGAAGTAACCTGTTCAAAATATCACGGCCCAAACGAATGAAGACATTGGCGTTCATGTTTCGGTGGCCAATGAGATCTCCTTTCACGCCAAAAAGGGCCACCTTCTGGCAGCCCCCCAACCCCACGTGCCCACCACAGCAAAACAAAGCAGACCAGTTCTCCAACTTTCGGAAAGGAATGAGATCCACAAATCCGCCGCACATTTGGGTGTCACGAAGGGCTGCTACAAAAAAAAGTCAGCCCATTATTTTGGTTTCATCAAGATTACACAGGTTTATGTCGACCCCACCACAACCCGCGATGAAACAAGGTAGTATAACCAACTAATATGGGCAAACAGAATCGGATTTGGGCGCACATGTGCAACATGCATCCGTCCAGTGGCCATGAGAACATACCCCTCCGCAACGCCAAGTGGTGCGTTGATCCCCGAAAGTTTGATATGAATGTAACTCTAAGCGCGGGAAGTGTGAGGAACCGTGGCTGGGAGCCTCCAAAACAGTTATATATATATAAACAAACAAACAAACAAATAAGTAAATGAACAAACACACAAGCAATCAATCAACCAACCAACCAACCAACCAAACAAACAAACAAACAAACAAACAAGCAGGATTGTAAGTTGGGAATTATTCTACCTCATGTTCAGCATTCAGTTGGCCCGTTTGTTTGCAGTCAAGAAAAAGCAATCATACCATTTCCCTATCTACTTCCAAGCCAAATGCCAAACGAGAGGGATGAGAGCACGTCTGAGCCCCCCGGCTCATCCAACAAGGAGGGGTCCAACTGACACAAGAGCCGCGTGGCTTTGCGCCGCGCCGTCTCCATGTCCTGGCGAATCGATCCAGGGATTGAACTTTTCCATCTGGCCACGGGTCAAAACCCAAATCGTACCCCCACTAAAAAAGGTTCTAAAATGGGTGGTGCACCTATCCCAAAATGGTACCATTGGTGTTGAACCATGGCCAAGTGAGTATGGGTCTGTGGTTTTCGAGGGTGCCCTGCTCAGGTGGTTTTTTCACTGAGGCCCAAAAAGGGAAGCCACAAATTGTTGCCCACCCGTTTTGTTTTCGTTGAAGGGAAACCTAGAAAGAACATCGTGGGGGGTCTCCCATTCTAAAGATCTATCTCCACTTCTTCGCACCAAAGTCGGCGTGGACTGCAAGTCAACTTGTTGGTTGAAAGGCGAAACGGAAAGCCGACAAGGCAACAAATTCCGAAGGTAAGCCAAGTCTGGCAATGTGTTGGCACAGAGAAGGTTGCTTCGAACTGGACTTGAATGTGACCGCGCAAATCATGGGCCCTTTGACACAAGCAACCTGAAACCAGAGTCAAGCACCTTTCTGTTGGCGTTTGTGGGCCTCTGGGGAATTGCTGGGTTCATTGCGCTCTGGAAAAGAACTTAAGTCACAAACAAACCCTTGCGCTAACACGGTCTACCCAAATGTAAAGAATCAAAAGGGCCATATCCGCACCCGTTTACGTTTGGGACTGCGCCCTACCCCGGAAAGTTCCCGGGCTCGATTGTGAGGCACTTCGCTTAACCCCAACAGTCATCTCAGACGTTTCTTCACATTTGATCCTAAAGAAAAAGTTGATTTCAGGCGAAACCAAAGCTCCCCACCCCGCGGAATCCACCCCAGAAACAACTTGCAACCTTTCGACCCGCTTGCAAGGAGATGGCGCCGGCCTGCACGGAAGTGCCAGACCGCAAGAGATGGGCTTTGCCCGACTCCACCACCTGTCAGAGCGTGAGCTGTGCTGATCGAGCCATGGCCATAGTTCCCCGAATCAAAACATTGGTTCAACACCTGTATTCAGAAGTGGACCTCCCCTACCACCCCACGTAAAGGGGTCTTTTGAGCATGGCAAATATGCGTGTGGGTGTGTCAATTTAAAAATGGGATTTGGAATTCTGGACATGTTGGTTTCACTTTTGGTTTCCCGTGCTCAGGTGAAAAGAGTACCCTCCAACCACATAAGTTCCCACATGGGCGTTTCCCACAATTGGGGGTCCCTTTGCGATGCCAAGAGGAACTCAAAGGAAACTCACCTGAAGGAACGGGCCCCTAATTTTGAGAAACACCGCATGAACTTTGCAGGGACCGCTTCAATATAGCGGAGTGTTTTTATCAAGGCGTATCGTGGACGGTGCACTGTATAGCCTCCTTCGAAGTGGTTTGGGTGGGTGGTTTGGAGCGGGCTATCCCCAAACCCCCAGTCCAAACCACCAAGTAAGAGTAACCTAAGGAAAGGGTCACCTTAAAACTGGGGCACACCTTCTCATGGGACAATTACCGCCTCGCAGAGGTGGCTGATCTGATGGTCGCGTCGCCAGCACGGAGGCCACCCCTGACCGCAGAATCGCTGGCTTGTTCTCAGGGAATGAGAAATGGAATGACTCTCTTGCAACCATCCAACTAGTGGTTTGAAGGCTTCCTTCAAGAAAATCCCTGGGATCATTTTTACATCTACTCATTCAACTGGTGGTTTCCTTCAACCCCTGGGTTCATGAATGTGGACATTCTACGCCATGGTTATAAACCCCCCAAAGCCATGTTGTAAGGACCTTAAGTGGAGTAATTATGGCCAGTGCTGCTATCAGTTAGCGAACTTCCCCAGTTGCCCAGTGGATTTCCATGGGAAAAGCGGGCACCCTTTTGGTTGGTCGGTTTGGAAGGAACCAAAATTAAACAACAATACGCATCAGGAAAACTGGCCGGAGCTGGAGGTTGGGTTTCCCCAACCATGGTCGTGTCCCCCGACTTTTTCTTGAAAGATCCCCGGCTTGAGAACGGGATCCGGCGCAAATGGAAACACAAAGTAGTTTTAGCGCACACAAAAACAAACACGCACACACACAAAAACAAAATGAAAACCATCAGGTACAAGATGTTACAAGAGAACAAGCTGGAAGTTGCCTCAAAAGGAAAAGTCAACAGATATAGTTGAAGCAACTCCCCTCAATGGGGGAGACCATGAGGTCGTTCACAAAGCCCCTATGCGGGAAATCGGGAAACCAAAAGACTGCGGTTGGCAAACAAGTGCACAACTCCCAGAACCCATTGACTCTGACATTGGGCTCCACTTTACTGTTCTCTCCGTTAGAGCATGTAGAATCCGCGAAAATGGCCAATAAGGCTTCAGGGTCGAAGGCTTTACTTTTGGGTTTTACTCCGGGGGCTGATGGACTTGTGGGGTTGGCCTCGCTATGGTTGAGGGTGTGAATTCCCTAAATTGTTCTGTTCGAGGGTTGTCGGTGTGATTTTTTGTTTTGTTTTCTCGTCAAGGCGGCGTGTCGGAGGGGAGTTGCAGAGTTCCCTAAATTCCGCCCTTCAACATCACCGAAAGAAACCTCGATCAACCTTTGCCAAAGAAAGGGTACGGTTGATTCCTGAAAGCATAAAGAAGTGAACCAACCACATCCGGTCTCTAAAGTCTGGCAAAAGGTGCTAAACGACTAAACGACGAGGTGTTCAACCCGTTCCCTTGCTTAATATTCCGCTGGTGCCCACCGCATGAACATCCACTCACCTTCGCTTTGGACAGAGTCGCGCCCAAGTGATGTCTTCTGGAAGACACACATGACTTGCCGTCCGGATGTTTCGCAATACAAAGAACCCTGCAAATCAAGAAGGAACGAAACAAATGAGGTTCCCCAAAATAAAGGGCACCCCCCCCCCCCCGAAAAGAAAAAAAAACTGAAAACTAAATCACAAAGTGCTATAAGTTGTCCTGTCTATTCCTTTTCATCCCCTTCTTTCGACGTTATTGTAAACCGGGCGAGGCTTCCCCGCACAGTTTTTTTGGAAGGAACGTGTCGGTTGTCTCCATTGGCTCCACCGGCCACCTTCCGGCACGCGAACCAGTCTCGTGACCGGGTCGCTCAACAAAACGCCTTAGATCCAGGGTCCGAGCCAGGAGTTACGCGCGCTCGCGCCCAGAGTTCCCTAGAAAACTGACCCGTCTCACCTGAAGCTGGCGGTATCGTCCTTCCCACAGGCAAGGCGAGCCTTGAAGTCTCAGCGTCAACCAACCTGAGGCCTTTTCTGGGGCAACTGCCGTAAGCATTCATTTCCATAAAGAGGGCACTGTGCCCTGCAGTTCACACATTGCTAGAAAGGTAGCGACCTCCATTCAAATCTGGTCGGTGAGCATACAGCTCTTCGCCTGTCCGGCTGTCGAGGCCTATTGGCTTTGGTTCTCCCTAGCGGCAGAGCGCAGCTGTTCCGGCGTCAAGGGTTGCCATGCTTCAGATGGCGCCCTACCTCGGTGTGTGGCATGGGGCCATACCTGATCCCACCGCACTCGCGGGGAAGCTGTTCCACATCTTACTTTGACACCATCCCACCTCGCATCTGGCTTCTGACAGCCCTCGCGTAAGTCAAATGTTATATCCTTTCCAAGCAACCAGCTACGATGAATCTACGTGAAAGCCTCGCTTTCGCTGGGTCTTTGGCCAATTTCCTATGCTTGTAGCTGGTCTCTATGATTTTCGCACCTTTGCGCAAACAGACTTGCGCGATTTGGACGCTCCGCAGCCACCCCGCCTCGACGGAAATGCACCACCAAAGCTGCCCGGCACTGGTGCGCCTGTCCGACTGCCGACTGCGACCCCTAACGAGGCCCGCTTTTTGCTGGGAAAGGGACCTTCTCCCGCAGTCATGAAACGAGACCTCACTTAGAACTCCCCCCCCCCGGTACAGGATGCGTTAGACGCGGCCCCTTTGCCCTACAACATCACAGACTTCCTTGGGCCCGCCGTTCAGGATACATTCAAAGGACCCCGTTTTACCAAGAAACCGTGGTGTATGAAAACGGCCCGGATGGAGCTCAGGGGCCTTTTGCTCCCTGTATCTTATTGTAACTTTGGGCCTACCACTTGAAGTGCTCAAAGATAAATGGAATCAACGATCATCCGCTTGCTTCCTGCGCAGAAAGCTTGGTGAGTTTCAAGGGGCCCAAAAAAGAATTTGAAACATCTGGTGGATGATGGAATCCCGTGGCCAAGTATGACCGCTATCAGGTTGCCAGTACGGGAAGTGGCCAAAGCTTTGGCACCCCAGAAGCAAAGTGATTGCTTTCAAGGCTCAGAGTGGCAAGAAGTAGCTTGTGAGGATTGGTGACCTGAACGTCACGCAACAAAACAAGAATTGGTGCTTCTTTTCGTTCCACGGAAATGAACTGAGCTTCTGAGTCTTTGGTTTTCATTTATATTTGGGGGGTCCCACATGGACCCCTGCGCCCCCCCCCTTCCGGAAACCAGCTTTACCCTGGATCTGTTCCGACTTGAGGCCGGCGCAGGTACCAGGGCAGGGTCAAGGTTCGCACGTTCCGCTTGGAGATCCGGCGAGCTGGGCGAGCCGAGGCAGATCTCTGCCACCGAAAGCGGGCATTTGAGTGTTTCTCAGAATGGATTGCGGACCCTTCTGGCTGGTGCTTCAAGTGAAACCAAAAAGAAACCAAGCATTTGAGCGGACCACAATGTTATGAACCCCCCATTTGACCTGGGCCATTCACCAACCACCAAAACACGTTTGAATTGAAGCTTGCTCTCCAAAAGCCAATTTGTTGTGCAATTCGCGAAACCTCAAAAGCACACATTACAAACGAGAGGTTTCGAATTGGGATACCTTGGCTTTCCCCAAAATGTGTGGTTGCCCTTGGTTGCCCTTGATACTACCAACCACCCCAAGCGAACGTGTCAATGGATTGTGCAAACAACAAATTAAGATTACAAACCACAGGACAAATAAGACTGGGCTATCACACATGGGTCAGAACAACTGATCATAGCAAGAGAAACGGCTATCACGATCGCCATCGTCATCATCGTCATCATCCGACCATCATGCATCTGTCATACAGCCAGCTTACAATTATCATACCATACACCCATCATACTTCATACACCCATCATACATCATACACCCATCATACATCATACACCCATCATACATCATACAGCCATCATCCATCATACATCATACACCAATCATGCATCATACACCATACATCATCATGTGGCCGAGCTTTGAAATGCCTCGTATCAGTCTTCCAAAACAAAACCCTGTGATTCCATTTGTTTGCAACAACTACAAGGGCCTAAATAACTAGAATTAGGCTATCGGAAACGTCAAAACCAAATTTAGCCACAATTGTACGAGAAAACTATCAGCCATTTTTGTCTGCCTCCTGTATGGGCATGACTTTCAATTTGTGACCTCGTGGTGAACAGGAATTTAGGGTGGAGATTGATGTCCTGCCGCTGGTGAGAGGCTTTCCAAGCGAAACCTCATAGCCATACCCCTGTCGAGTCCGAATCGGCTGGCGAGTCTGAGACGTGCACACAAACCATGAGGCCTCGGGCTTGGCGTGCGCGCTTTCTTCGAGTCCAATGATGCCTTTTCGGAGTCGTTTTGAAGGCCAGGTCCTCCAGTAGAGAGGTTAGAATAAGGGTACCCTCTTTTCTGTAGTCTATTTTAGTAGGGGAACCCTTCCCAAAAAAGGGTAAAAGGGCACTACTGGGGGATGTAGAAGGGCAGCCAACAAGGAAGCCAAAAGGAAGCCAAAAGGAAGTCGTTTTCAAGGGAAGCCAAAGGGAACAGCACCGTTTCGGGGCGGGTGGGATTTTTGAGCCACCGCTTTTGAGAGCAGTTTTGAAGGGAAGCCGAAAGGAAACCAACATCCACTTGGGACGTCCAAATCCCTGTTTTGACGCTAGGAGAAATCGGCCGGGTCGCAGATCCGGCCTTTTGCTGCCCTTCTGATGCTCTGTGGGTCAGAAGCAGAAGCCCAGACACCCCTGGAAACTTTCGGAATGCCACGCTCCACACCCCAAAGCTTATTGCGACCCCCATAGCCTCAGATGCCCAGTGGCCATGGGAACAAAAAGGGCATCCTTTTTGGGTTGGTTGACTTCAAAGGGGAACCCTTTCCAAAAAAAAAAGAAGGAAAAAGGGTACCACTGGGCAACTGAGTAGCTTTCAGCTGTGAAAGTCTGTACTTGCCCATTCTCTTGTCGGCATGAGAGCTGAATGGACACCCGAGCGAATCAGGTGTCACCCATGAAGGATTCCCAGAAGGGGACACCCCCTATAAATGGCTGTGGGTCAAAACCATTTTGGGGTAGGTGAATTCACCGCCCATTTTAGAACCGATTTTAGTGGTTGGATTGGGATGTGCACTGGGGGCACGATTCGGATTTTGACCCGTGGCCAAATCAAGAAGGGATCTCTTCAGTCGGGGTTAACAGGGGAGAAGTTGTCAGCATACCTGGTTGGATATGCTGCTGCTTCTCGACCCAAATCTCCCGTTTCTTGAAAAAGGAGAACCGGGTCAACAAAGCCAAGTTACTACGAAGTGAGGCCGTCGCCATGTCTTGCAGCATGTTTCAGCCACTAGTGCTTAGCATCAACTTTTGATGAATTCGGAAGACCGTACAAACCGCAGCAATCCGCCAAAACGGGTCACTCCTGAAAATCAAGTCCACGGAGTCCACCCAGTCAATGCTGATCCAACATTCACATCGAAGTTTCTCCGACCGATTCCCCGAATTTGTTTGCATCCACAAACCCGCACAACAAATCAGGGTTAGGGGTGTCTTTAGCCATACTCTTGGGGGGCATGGAGGTTAACCTGTCTATTTGCCCTCTCGCACACATGGCTCTTTGTCAAATCGAAGCCACCGAAGCGCACCGAGCCCCAAATGGGTGGTTTCCTCTTGGCTTCCTCTCAAAGCCAAACAGGTACGTGCAAAAGAAGGCAATATGAAGAACTTGCCTCGTAGAGCTCGTTTTACCCGCGCTAGGTGAGCTATGATGTGTCCAGACCAATGGGAAAGCGATAACCATTCTTTGGTGGTTGATGTCAAAGGGCTTACCACCGGGGAAAAAAAACAAAAAAACATACCAGACGGAAATGCCCCACGGCAGGTCTGGACGTCTTGTATTTCTGGAGAGGACTGAAAAAACAGAAACATCGCTGCAAATTGACAGAAGGAACCCAAACAAAGTTCCCCCCCCCCAATTTTGTCGGGAATTGCCTCTAGAGATGATGGCTTTTGGGTTGTCCCCGTAAGCGCTATGGCCATCTCATGATACAGATTTAGGGACATGGGGGAAGAACAATTGAGAGGTGATTCAAGACCCTTATCGACTTGATTCCCTTAGCTCCACTGGGCAAAAACGGTTTGCCCGGGAGACCCCTAAATCTAGAACACATTCTGGATTTGGTATCCAGTGGTGGATCCACAGATTCGCCACATCCAAAGGGCTTCTGAGGCTCCGGCTGCGAGATTTCCTGTGGCTGGATGGGTTTTCCCACGACACACACCCATATGGGTCTGATGTTTTTAGTGTGTCCGTCAAAATAGGAAGGGACCCCTATGGAGGTTTCCTTCTGGTTAAATCAGCCAAACAAAGGTAACCTCAAAACACAAGTACATATTATACTCATGGCATGTGGGCCCTTTCTGGTGACTGGTTGTCAGTTTGGTTAGATATCCGATGACTAGGGTTCATACCAGGGGGTCATGTAATGGATCCTTTGGGCTTCCCAAAAGAACGACTCTGAATTGAGGAAACGTCTCTTTATAGTGTGGTTCATCGGAATTGTTGGACTGGTTTGAAGGGAAATCTTATGGAGCAAGGTCCCCTATGTAAGACACAATCAGATTGGGAAGTCAACAAAAGCTTGTTAAACTAGGAAAACAAATCAACGTGCTACAGGATGCCTAAGAACAAGCAAACAAAGAAACAAAGAAACAAACAAACAAACAAACAAACAAACAAACAAACAAACAAGCAAACACACAAAAACAAACACAAGCAGTCTCGAGCTACTCTGATATAGCTTGTTTGAATAACAATTCCAAACAGCTCTAGAAGCAGCTTCCGCATTCTTTCCAGGACTCCCTCTCAAACATCCACAGGACATGCCTGAGAGAACGAACGTTGAACAAGTCGGGGATCAGCCTCTAGAACAACTGCCAATGTTGCACCAGGAAGTTTGTTCCCAAATCTTGCTTGACTATGTGACGGTGACATCCTGCACTCCAATCGCCTCAAACGTTTATTCCACCATCATCATCTTGAGGTTCAAAAACCGTCCACTCTACCCACACCAATCCGTTCTGTGGGCCGCTGAGACAAAAGTATTCACGGTTGAACTTGGAGTGAGCCTTCCTTTGCTGTCTTCAGAGTCACGCTCTTCCGAGTGACAACCTTGTGAGGCGTTGTGAAAGGGACAACGAATACAGGGATTGCATTGCTGCGCTGGCCGAGGCCACTTCTGTGAGACCGGCCTTCAGCCACTGAAGCTGGGCCAGCTTTGGCAAAGGGCAAAAAGCTGGTGGAGAAGTCTTGTCTTTTCGTAGGACTTTTGCTCGGACCTGAACTTCATCCGACATCCTCTGCGCTGTTCCTCTTGCTTCCAGGGGTGCGGCGGCGACTTCGTGCCAGTGCCCTCTTGCTGGTCATTGATGAGCAGCCGGGAACCGCGACCAATTCACTTCTGTCTTTGCCATGGCCGAGTACTCGCTTGTTCAAGCTTCCTAGGCTGTCAAAGCCGTGGTTGTGAGGGGACTAACCCCAGCTACCCCACTTATAACCATGGCCAGACGGGGCGCTACACTCCTGGAGTCTCCGTGACCCTGCAAGATTGGGTCATGACCCCTTTTCGCGTGTATCCCAATGTGTCCCACAAGCCGATGCGGAGACGTGGCCCGAACTCAACGAGATCAAACGAGATATGCCTCGTCAAAACGCGCGACGCCCCAAGATGGACCCTTTTTTTTCGAGATGTCACTTTCAACCAACCTTAAGAAGTGCACTCTCAAAAAACTTCGCGCGACCGGCATTAGGGCTTCGCCGGCAACCTTCGCTTCGCAGCCCCCGAGTGACTCTGCTCTCTGCTGGGCTTGAGGAAACGGATCTGAACCTTCCACGGCTGGACAGGTTCCGTGTGTTGATTCTGCGGAAACCAACCTGCTTCTTCTGGTGTACCTTTGGGAAAAAGAAGAGATGGGCTAAATTATCAGAACCAAACTGACACTCGCGCCATGTGTGCTCAAACAAACTGACCCAAAAAGGACGCCTAGTATCAAGGGTAAAACAATTCACGGATTTTACTTCCCTGCATGGAACTCAAACATTCATTATGTCCACAGCAATCTCTATCTGGGGGCCCCTTTCCTCCTTTTCATGTGCTGGGGTAGCGCAAACCCTAAAAATCACCAGGTACACCAACGTCCTCGGAAACCAATGGCTTTTTTCCGGACGATTTTGGTGGATTCCGAGGGCCCTGACCATGAGTGAGCTCGCGCCTCGTCTTCCTCCATGTCCATCAGGTCTCCCGACAAGCTGTGGCCTGACGCCGGCTAGATCGCCCCGCTAGACACTGACCTGGTAGCTTGGTCCAACCCACTGTACACCAAGTGACACCAAAAACTATGGTCAGATTCTGGTTCATGCCTAGACCCAGTACAAAGAGACTTTGCCAGACACCCCAGGGCCCGTCCGAAAAGTAGAGAGGGGGTCTTGGGGGAGGGGGGGAATTGGAGCCTAAACAAGAAGTGGGCAGAGGTGATCCCGAGAATCCCAACTCTCCACTGGTTTGATGATTCATTTGCGTTTCGGGACAACCCTAAACCACGAACCTAGGATAGATGTTGGGTCGTCCCCCCTGACTAACACTGGAGAATAGCTTGTTTTTGACAAACCAAACATGGTCTTCCAGTCGGAAAGCACCATGGGTCAAAGGGAATACGCAACAAGCGAGTACATGCAAATGTGAGTGTGTGTGTGTCTAAATTGTATGAATATACACACACACACACACACGCAGTGCGAAAACTCCTACAAAGTTGCGGACAATAGCTTTGCCTGCTCACTGTTCTGCTATGAATGTGTTGAGTGGGCGAAGTGTGTTTTGTGGGTTTGAACAATTTGGTTGAACTTGAAAAAGGCGACAGTGGCGTTGATAGTAAATGTAGCAAGAGTCGAAAAGCTGGCAGTAGGCAGTTAGCTACTTGGCTATTTAGCTGTTTGGCTTTCTCGCTAGGTAGGTGGTTAACTAGTTCGCTAGCTAGATAGCTTTCTGGCTAGGTAGGTAGTTAACTAGCTAGCTAGTTAGCTTTCTGGCTAGGCAGGTAGATAACAAGTTAGCTAGATAGCTTTTTGGCTAGCTAGGTAGCTAGTTAGCTAGTTGCCTTTCTGGCTAGGAACTAGCTAGCTACATAGCTTGTTAGGTAGTTAACTAGCTAGCTAGCTAGCTTACTGGCTAGCTAGTAGTTTAGTAGTTACTAAACTCTATAGATTCAAGGGTTACCGGTTTGGGGCCCAAAAGGAAACAACAAACCGTCCAAGTGCGCTGCTCGCACATTTTCACGCTTGAACAGCCACACTGCGGATGCAACGGATGTAAAACCCCAAACTGACCGATCAAATTCTTCACCCCCCTCTGCGTGTTAAAGGGGCCTTTCACAAAGCAGCCAAACAGAAACACAACAGAGGGAGAAGGTCATGGGGAACCGTTGTATACATGCAAACCATGACAGTTGCGCTTTTAGCGCCACTGCCAAGTAGATTGGTAACCGCTGCTGTCATACCATCCTCCCCAACCGGACCAGTTCTGCCAGCTGCCTTGGCTCCAATGCTCACCCTCGCGGGCGGCGGGAGCACTCTGATCGGCATAGCGAGCGGCATTGCGAGCGAGGTGCTTGGTGCTCTCGTTCTTTGAAAACTCAACTGAGTTTCGGGCATATCGCTCGTTCTGGCTGAATATCCAGTCCATTTCATGGCGGAGGTCCTCGAGGGAATTGCTTCGCAAATGGATGATGCCATTCCAACATCCAATGCTGCGAGGCTTGTCCTGCTCGGAGACAACATTCACAAAAGCCCGTGGACTGTATGGCATTCCCTGAAACATGATGATCCAACGGGAACTGAGTGCATCCTGCAATTCGCTGGGCAGAAACTCCACCTCCGTCTTTATGTACGCGAGCCTTGCGATTCGCGACTCAGAAGTTGATCCAAGGCCAACTCCAAGAGTGCGCTGGGCTTGCGACTGCTTTGGAGCAGCCAAGACGAGGTTTGCACACAACTCCATGCGGAGTATATCCGCATCCCGACGGCCCACTTCAAGCATACGAACCCTGTATTGAAGGTCGAGTTCATAGCGATCAAGTAGAGAGTGGTAGCCGTTCTTCAGGGCGGACTTGTGCTTCTTCCGGGCCTCCTGAATGACAGCACTGTCCGGGGAGTTCAGGCCACGAAGGATGCTACTCCGATCCTCCTCGCGGAGGTCAAAAGTTCCCACGGATGCCAAAACCTGGGCTGTGACATGGGTGCTGAGGCCCATCTTCTTCAGCAAATTGGAACGCTGCACAAGGTAATTCTTTTGCTGCTCTTTCAACAGGCGAGGATTGAGGGGTGACAACTGCCCACATGATGTGCAGTGGACCTGCCCCTCGAACACACTGTTGTTGCAAACCGGGCACGTGGCGACATTCAGCTCAACGTTCTCCATTGGATTGAAAGTCTTCTGTCTCTTCGCTTCCCCTTGCGGGGCGCGAGGAGACGCCACATTGGTGCGGGTTGTAGCAATGCGCTCCAGTGCTGTGGACCGATCATCAACCACGGCTTGGTCGCGCTTCATCCCCTGGGGTTCATCCTCAGTCGCCTCAGCTGGTGCACCTGCATCCGATTGCTCGGAGCGAGTGTACCATACATCGCCATTTGTAGCGTCCAACACAGAAATAATCGTGTAGTTGGGCACCTTGTCGCGCGTGAGGACGCCATCGCTCTCTGTCTTGAAAAAGCAAAGCCCTGCACGAATGGCCATCCTGAGGTCGATCTGTATTTCCAAGGGCTTGTTAGCGCGTACACCTGAGATGTAATTCTCGTTCGTGCTCGGAATGTCAGCGAAGAAAACGTGAGGTCTGCCTGTCTCGTGCTGGTCACCTCCTCCTGGAAGCAGTCCGTTTCGCATAATGTTGGCGAAGTTCCGCTTATCGGTGCGATGATAGAGCACCGTAGGAGGGTTGCTGCAGACGTTCCAGCCAGACCAGCGCCCGAGGTCCGTCCCCGGGTTCACGTACCACTCCTTCGCGATGCCGGAGTCGTCAATTTGGAGCCAGTCCTCATGGCCTTGGGAGGCCTTGATCTTGAAAATCCAATGAGAACAGGGGACGTCTCCGCACCGGCTTGCGTCCGGGCAACCAAGCGCAATGAACCTCTGCTTTTTGTCGAGCTTGAAGATGTCCATGATGCTTTGAATATTCCATGGAATGGGATGTCGCAGCTCCTTGCGAAGCGCGAGTCCCAAATCTTCAAGGTCCATGTAGCCGTCCTCATCCATCACGTACCCACATCCTTCTGTCCCTCGACCACGGAGGATCTTCGAGATGCACGTCAGGGAGCTGTGGTACTCATTGCTGATTCTCCTGACGGAAGGGTCGTAATCAAAAGAAGGCTGCTTGATGATCTCAAGTCGCTTGGGGCCCTCACCATAGTCAACATACTTCACGCCGTCATGGATGCTATAAACCCAGCAATCGTAGTGGCCCCCAGTCACGTTCCTCCCGTAGGAGTCGAGTGGTACCGGCCTGCTCGTCGCCTCGTCCCTCTGTGCCACCGCAGCCGCCTTTGCACCGGCTTGCGCCGGGCGAACACTTTCGGAAACATCAGCACCGGAAGGCTCACCTGAAGTTGCAAATTCGGCTGGATCGACAGGGGCGAAATCGAGGGGCTGCCGGAACTCCACTTCTTCACGGGTGAAAGGGAGCCCGATCATCTCTGACAATGAAACGCCGCACTTCGTTAGCGTTTCCTTGCAGTACGCGAGAACCTCAACGTTGACTGTGCAATCCTCTTGGTGGCGCACCTCGAGCACATCGATCGGACGCATTGTGCAATCATGCGAACGTGTCAGCTCGGCTACGCTGCCCATTGCGGGGCGCAAGATGGAAAGCATGTACAACATATGATGGGTTCCGCGCATAAACTGGACGGTCTTCGTGATATTGTCGTCGCTGAAGCACATATGATACCTGTCCAGCAAATCAATGGTCTCGACGAAGGGTGTAGCATCAACGTATACAAACATATTGTTGGGGTCGCCGATGATGTAATCCCGGACTTCCGTCATGAAACGGTCCCAAATCATAGAGAAGCCGTAGAGGTAGCTCTTCGCGCCGGTCATGACTCCAAGGCATGCGCAGCCCTTGCGGGCCGCGAAATCCCTGGTCCAAGCCAGGTGCCGCCTGGTGTCAGCGAGAAGTTGCTCGGCGTCTCCGATGGGGGTGTCGTAAGGATATGTACCAGTGGGCTCGAGGCCGTCCTTCCCAACGAGCTCGTTGCCATTCCAGTAAATCATCGGAATGATGGTGGCTGCTGGGTAGTCGGTACGCACCTCGTCGATGAGGGCGGCCAACCGCTTGCACAGCTGTTGTAAGCCCTTGCCCCAAAGCATTTCAGACCTCCATGCACCGACACGCGCCGGGCGAGAGGCATCCAAACGCTCCGCAAAGTCGTACTTGCGAAGCTTGCGCTTCTTGCCCGAAACCATGGACAGTCCTGAATCAGCGACAGTCACATAGATAAGGAGGTCGCGGTCTGGTACACGTGGGGCCTGCAAAACTTTCAAGTACGGTTCGCTTATGGTTAACAGGGGTGTAAGCAATTGCAGGTAGTGCGGTTGGTCCTGCACCCATGTATGAATAAGCGACTGTGCAGAGGTCGTCTCGAGGAGGCCCTTGACCGTGGCGGCGAGGTTAGCGTCGTATTTGCCGTTCGTGCATACCGAAGTGGTAGCGACATTCTCCATCCATCTCCTCCATGCCGGATCGCAATCCCTCGCGGGATGCGCCATAGCCGTCGCGCTGCTCATTGCGAAGAAGATGCAGCACAATCACTCGAAAGCAACGGCTGCATGGTGGCATGTTCAGAAAATGCATTGTGAACGGCATCGGTGTAAACATACGTGTATCCCTCGGCTTCCTTCAAATGCGTACCACGGCTTTCATCATGCTCGTGAGAACCATCACACTTGAAGTACTCAACCACGGAAATAGTGGGCATATTACTGGCAACGACCCACTGCTTTTTCATAGGTTTTCCATTTCTCCCTTTAATGCCGATTTTGCAACCATGGAATTCGTACTTGTTCATCTTGTACTTAGTCAAGAAACTCCATAGTTCGGGCCATTTCCAATAACGACACGCCTTGGGAAGTTCGAAGGCAACTCTAACGTCATCAGAATAGACATCATTGAGAATGCGTTTGAACCCTCTCAGCAGTGATCGGAATTGCTTGATGTGACCCTCAATCTTGGCAGCACCTTTGGGAGTTTGCTGGTTGACATAACC